AGTAATCAATGAAAGAAGGCCTTTCCAACGGTAAAACTTCATCAGGTTAGTTGTTCAGTATCCTTCATTAGATTTTGAACACTTGTGTTGCTTCAAATGAACAAAATGCACAAATTACAAATGATGGCCTGTATCTTTAACTTGGAGCCGATATAATAGCTCGCCATACACAGAGTGAAGGTGCATTACATGTGTGCATAATGTATGTGCATGTGAATGTACACAGTCAGCCTCAGAGCAAATTGTTTACATTCGTGTTGGGCCTGGTTTGTCATCCACTAGGCCGACTTCTAATAAACACACCATCAATCATGCATGTAGCATGGCGCAGTCCCAGAACCCCTTTATGTTCTTTGAGATGTTCCTTATATCATGGTCTTTGCCCATTCCGGAAGACTGAAATATGAAGATGGTAAAAATATATTCAGGGTGACCATAAGGTCATGACTAAATTCTGCTAAATGCGCTTTAAAAATCTGTCAGATTTATCAAAAATCTGCCAAATTCCCTAGAATGACTCAAAATACACTATAAACACTTTAAATCACATGCAGATGTTGTAATATTGCCTTAATTAATGTTCAAATTACATAATAAAGAATCTATAGCCACATAAAGATAACATGAAATTGCGTAAATTGCAGGGAAAACGCGGTTGCGTCACGACAAAATCCGGTGGTTCCCAGTGAACTTCAGCACCTAGACCAGGCAACCTGTCCTATTTTGCAACGGTTTGTTTGAAAAGATTGAAGCTTTTGTAAACAACACACCATTTTTTTTTTGCAAATTTGCTGTTTTTCTGTCAAATGACCATTTTTGCACAATTCTGCCAGAAATCTGCCAAAAAATCCATTCTGTCAAATTTTCTGTCAAACTCATTTTTTAACACAAAATCTGTCAAAGTTAGCTGAAAATCAGCCAAAACGGTCACTATGAATATATTGTTCCTTAAAAGGCAGGACTTTATAAAAGGGTCGTTCCATAAATTTAGGGTCTAAAGTGTGACACTTTCCCTGTCTCTGTTAATTCCTTGGTTCTTAGTAATTTGCCATTCGGGTATCATTAAGAATGACTTCAAACAATGTTTTATTTGTTGGGTAGGTAGCTTGCTATTCATAATCTCTCTTGGAGCGTGACTGCATTAATAGTGATAGTACGGCAGATAGGTGATGGGATTGTGCCTTTGATGATACAGGCATGGCATTTGGCACACAGTCAGAGTATGTCATGAGAAAGATATGTGGCTCTAGGGCCATTGCAGATTTGTCCTTTGAAAAAAAATACAGGTAGAATAGCAAAGCCATTTTGAAAATTTTGAAAAATTGCTTGTTATTGTAACTTATATTTTTTCAAAGGACAAATCTGCGATGGCCCATGGCCAAATATCTTTCTTATTAAGACAAACATGAACTCTCACTATGTGCCACATACCATGCTTATATCATCATCACGTTTGGCGCCCTTTTTTTGGTATCTGTCCTCTAGTACGTGACCCTCCCCGGTGCCGCTTACCGTTTCGGTTATAATAGTTTTATTTTCTGCAAACTTATAAACGTGTAAAGCTTTACATTGTGCAGGCCGTTTACTCAAGAGCAAATGATTTTCAGTAAAAGCCTTTGATTAATTTTTATTCATACAGATAGGAGTAATGCCAATGCAAGTTTTTATTCATACCAACTACCGTATGGTATAATTTGTACTTGTTATTTATATTAATTTTTCGCGATTAACATTAATAAATGCAGTAATTTTTGCACAGAATCATGGGCTTTTATATATTCAAGGTAGCCCCAACCCAGCCTTTAAATATGACAAGTAAATATTTGAAATCTGAAGCATTTACTCCTTTTCATTCATGATAAGAAACGAAGTAAACGCTCATAGTGTAGCAAAAGCTTAAAGGTAAAAAGAAATTATTTTCAGATTTTAGCAAATGGTTTTTAATAAAAGTGTTTGCTTTTATACAGATGCGAGTAAAATGCTTCAAAATTGGTAGTAAAAGCAAATGCCATGTTTTATTCATACAAACTTGGTATCATTTGAACTTTATGAACTTCAATGTTAATATTAATTTTTCGCGATTAATATTAATAAATGCAGTAATTTTTGCGCAGAATTATTGTGCTTTATAATTTCAAGGTTGCCCCAACCCAGCCTTGTAAATGACAAGTGCATATTTGAAATCTGAAGCATTTACTCCTTTTTATTCATACGAAACGAAGTAAACCATTATTGGGCCAAAAAAAAGGCTCGGGTTTCTGGTATGCGCGCGCGTCGCCATAGCCATGCCCGTCGGCAAAATGAAAAAAAAAATTTCAATTTAGGATGATGTCTCAAAACCATCGAACTCACTGGTACGACTGGAATCCTGCTGTTACACAATTTTAACATGTTTTAGATGGGGTTACGATCGAGGATAAGCTTTATGTGGCCTTTCTGGGCTCCCATATATTTTGCACAGAATAGTCAGCAACCATTTGCAGATGGTGTAAACCTGCCGCTAGAGGGCGCTCTAATATGTTATGACGTCACCGGTATTTTTGTTGTAAAGTACAACCTAGCCACTAACATCGTTGCAAGCAAGTTCACATCTTTTTCCAATTTCAAATTATAATGCATGTCGAATTACTTCCGGTTAGGATCGGAAGGAAAAGTCACGTGATTTTACTCACACGAGATAAAATGAAGATCCTGGATTATTCTATCAATTCCCCCAAACGTCAAGTTCGGGTCTCTCACGGCTGATTTTATACTAATTTCAAAGATTAAAGCTATTAATCTTTAACGTGACATCACGTGACCCATGATGACGTCACTCTTCGGGACACAACTATGCCATAAGGACTATGCCTATGCTGACTTTGAATGATGTATGACAAAGATCAATGCAAAAAGTGGTGGTGAGAAAAGACGTGTACAAAGTCTATGGGGTTAAGGCGACGAAAAGAAGAAAGGAAAAAAAAAAACCAGCATAAAAAGAAAGGCTTTTCCGCAACTATGCCGAAAAGCCCCCCAAAAAAAATCAAAGTCAGGCTTACAATAATGTACTCTGAAACATGTACCTATATCACCGCAATGTAGGGTGTATTTTTAAAATTGTCATTTTTTAAATCCCAAGTATGCAACTGGAAAAAAAAAATAAAGATAAAATTTAATTGCTTCCAAGGTTCTCTTACATCCAAGATTATATTACAGAGAGACTTGGCTCTGTGCCCTTAGCTGCCGGCAAGGGCGTGAAAAAAATTGAAATCGGAATCCTCCTGCCTTGATTACGGCCCATTTAGCCCCAGGGTCACCGAAGCGTCCCGCATTACTGGGCCAGTATCTCTGGCATCCCTGGGGGAATGAAGATTAGGCCAACCTCATCCTCAAAGAACGAAAAAAGGAAATGTGTGTCCTAAGCTTGATTACCAAACGTCCCTCTGGGCCTGATTGCTGTGAAGGTTGCCCAATTTGCGGAGTTGGACACCGCGATGTGCCACAAATGGCACGCTTAATGGATTAATAGGTGAATGCTTTCCGGGATTCATTTTGGAAGCACATTGAGTAACTCTTTTCCTTATTTCCTTTGCAGCAAAATCCTCACACGTTTTCTTAGTTTGTGAAAAGTCATCACTTATAAAATGTACCATAACTTTCTACTTTGTAATATGATACAAGGAAGTATGGAATTTATGTTTTGACAATACACTAGCATTTTCTGGGAAGTATTTTGTGCAATATTTTGTTTCAATGCAGGAAGATAGGGTGTCGAGTTGGAGCGGTGGCAGCACTTCCAACCCGCCTTCCAACTCGGCGATCCGGGTTCAAATCCTGGCCGGGCTGAAATGTGGATTATGTTAGCAGGCCTGATTCTGCCTCTAAAACTGAAACATGTCGTGGTAATATTCTATATTTAAGTCCCTCCAAAGTTCTGAGCTACAGTACCGGTACCTGTGCACTTTTGAGGAACCCTTGGTTTTATTCAGCATTGAAGTCAATCCCTCACAAGTCAATCAAGTTAATGTTAATTATCCATATCAATGGCAAGTGATAAACTTTTCAAATGAACTGTGACACACGCAGTCCAGTGTCGCTGTTTGTTGCCCGTTACTCATGGCCCAGCTTGTGACTGAACTCGGATTGGACACTGACGTATGATACATGTAAAGCTTGAATACAACTAGGGTTTCATTACAAAAGGAACAAAAACAAAACAATAAGATAAAATGTTGGACTCCTAGTTGTAGTCAAGTTTATCCATCAATAGCCCTAACAGTCCTGAATCCTCCAATTTCAATACGATTTTGCACACCCCCTAGAGAGTTACGACTCAGATGTCAAATTCGAATCATCAATCACAAGTCAAATCTCAATTAAGGTTACAAGTAACAGGGGATGGATGTCAAGGAAGGAATGCTTTTGTAACTGTTAATTTGAATAGCTTGCGATTGGATTCGAGGCTAACTTGTGTCTGAGTTGTCAGTGACTTGTGATTGACATGTGATTGTCTTGGATTGACTTGTGATTGACTTGTGATTGAATTGTGATTGACTTGCGATTGACTTGTGACTGACTAGTGACTGACTTGTGATTGACTTGTGATCGAATTGTGATTGACTTGTGACTGACATGTGGTCGACTTGCAACTGATCTGTGATTTGATTTGTGACCAACTTATGTCAGACTTGGGACCGAGTTGTCACTGATTTGTGATTGAGTTAGGACTTGTGATTGACTTGTCACCGACTTAAGACTGACTTGTCCCCGACTTGTGATTGACTTGTGATTGTCTTGTGATTGACTTGTGATTGATTTGTGATTGTTTTGCGACTGACTTGAGACCGACTTGGGACTGACTTATGATTGACTTGTCACCCATATGTGATTAACTTGTGATTGTCTTGTGATTGACTTGTGATTGACTTGTGATTGTCTTGTGATTGACTTGTGATTGACTTGTGATTGACTTGGGATTGGCTTGACTACAACTCTTAACTTTTTGAGGCTTCCCAACTCACCTGTACTGGACGGCTCCCCTCTAATCAAGGAGAACTTGCGATACATGGCCAGCGGGCCCTCCACTCCCTCCACCAGAAACCGCCGCAGTAGGAAGTAGACGACCACGGTGCCCAGGCACGTGAAAAGGCACACCCTGAACAGGGTCCGACTCCCCCATTCCTGATAGACCACACCTCCCAGGGCTGTACCCAGACCTCTGCCTGTTGGATAAAGTGGTGATTTATTTCTTGCAAAGTAAGTTACAAGCCTTTGTCTTTTTGACTCACTGGCACGATATAACAACAAAAATTGTTGACTGCTGTGATGTGGGATATGTTGTTTTTAACCCCCTTGGGGCGCATAGCACCCCGAGGCGAATATATATGCACCCCTCGGGTGTTAAAAGTGACATATCCCACATCACAGCAGTCAACAGTTGTTAAATGTCAGCCCTACTGACCTGACTGACCTGACTGGCCTAGCTGACCTGACTGGCCTAGCTGACCTGACTGGCCTGACTGACCTGACTGACCTAACTGACCTGAATGACCTGACTGACATGACTGACCTAACTTACTTGACTGACCTGACTGACCTGACTGGCCTGACTGACCTGACTGGCCTGACTGACCTGACTGAACTGACTTACTTGACTGACCTGACTGGCCTGACTGACCTGACTGACCTGACTGAACTGACTGGCCTGACTGGCCTGACTGACCTCACTGACCTGACTGAACTGACTTACTTGACTGACCTGACTGACCCGACTGACCTGACTGGCCTGACTGACCTGACTGACCTGACTGACCTGACTGAACTGACTGACCTGACTACCCCGACTGACCTGACTGACCTGACTGACCTGACTGACCTGACTGAACTGACTGACCCGACTGACCTGACTGGCCTGACTGACCTGACTGACCTGACTGAACTGACTGACCTGACTGACCTGACTGGCCTGACTGACCTGACTGACCTGGCTGACCTGGCTGACCTAACTGGCCTGAATGACCTGACTGACCTGAATGACCCGACTGACATGACTGACCTGACTTACTTGACTGACCTGACTGGCCTGACTGGCCTGACTGACCTGACTGACCTGACTGAACTGACTGACCTGACTGACCTGACTGACCTGACTGACCCGACTGACCCGACTGACCTGACTGACCCGACTGACCTGGCTGACTGACTCACAAGGTGACTGACTGACTGAGCAACTTAGTAAAAATAATGTCAAACTTTTGGGTCCAGCTCAACTTAGCAAACCAAGTCTTTCTTTTTGTCAGAAGCCTTGCCTGTGTATACGTGCAAGTATTAAATAACGCCTCACCTACTCCCATATGGAAGGCAGAGATGACTGCCTGTAGGGTGGTGGTCATTCCAGTAGGAGCATTGGCGCTGGCAAACGATGTACAAGCAGCCCAGAAAGCCCCGTAGGTAAACCCATGTAGTAGTTCAAACGGAAGAACTAACCACGCATTACCCAGGAGAGAGTATCCAAGAAATCGCATGGCGTAGCAGAGCAATGTCAAGTATGCTACACCAATGTAGGTGATTCGCTTGATGATGCGGCCGGCGAAGAACAAGAAGGGCACTTCTGAGACGCAGTTGACGGTGAGAGTCAGACCCATTAGGATGTGAGGACTGTGGATTTCTTCTAAGAAGAGAAAGAGGTAGGTCCCCGTGATCCCGAACGACATTCCCGCGACCGTAACCACTAGAAGGAATGTGACGATGTTGGCTTGTAAGAGCAGACCGCAAAGGTTCCTCAGAATTTTCTTGTTCGGCACGTGCGGCGGGCTGTTGAAGAAAAAACTGCTGACAAAAGCGCCGGCTTGGAGGACGATGAACAGGTAGAAGGCGGGGACGTAGTTGGTGCGCGGGGAGCCTCGACTGAACGCGTCGATGGCGGCGCCGCTGATGACTGCAAAGGCGCCCCAGCCAACGGAGCCCCACAGGCGCTGCTTGCCGTAGTCCTGCGGTCTGGTACCCAGAGTCAGCATCAAAGTGGAATCCAGTAGTGGGAAGACGTTGCACACGAATATCTTGCTGGACAGGATTAGAGCGATCACCAAACTGAAAATGTACAAGTTGCTGGCGTGTGGCGGCGGCGACACCTCTCGTGGCTCCGTGGCAGTCAAGTTTGAACAGGCGCAATGTCGCCACGGCAGGCACTCCTGGAAGCTGCTGGACGAGTTTTGCGAGAATGATGCGCACCGCGAATCTCCATCACTTGTTTTGTTGGGACACTTGCTCACTTTCCGGCTTAGGTCTGAAGAATTTTCTTGAAGTTGAAGGCAAAACACCCTGAGAAAACTGCTGTGCATCGGTGGCTGGTAAGTCCAGGTTATACTAGTGCTCTGCACAGTTGCGTTGGGTTTGCTTGGAGGTATTGCTGTTCCCATTTCAGAAGAGGTGCATAATGTACAATTCAAATAAACGTCTGACCCAACACGCATCGGAAGGTCCCTATTGCTCGCTGCAGTGTCACAAACCTCTGAGCAGACGTCTGTCCTGCGGTTACCCGAATCAGAACGGTTGCAAAGTGAGCTCCCCGCCCACTCAGGCTCACTGCAGTTTAAAAGCCAATTCCAACTTGGGCACAGTTCCTGATTGGTGGTATAATTGTCAGACACATCATGAGCATCCGGGGTATCGGAGGAAGGAACGAATATGAGGGCAAACGTAAGCAGACTACTGCCTAAGAGGGATACGATCAACAGGAGTTTGTGCTTGCTGCGTTTGTCGGCCAGGCTACCCCAGACGGGGCTGGCTATGAAGCTGATGGCGGGCTCCAGGCTTCGGATCAGGCCTGTTTCGGTGATGGTCAGGCCCAGCTGGTGCATGTAGATGGGCAGGAACGGAATCAGACAAGACATGCCTGTAGTATGGTCAATTAAAAAAACAAATGTTAATTTGGAACTGTTTGATCTCATCCGGGGTACATTCCTCTTTAAAAGGAATGTACAACATTTGCTTTTGCTTCAAATTTCAGAAATAAATGGATTTGGAGGATGAGCATGTTATAGCAAATATTGTTAAACTGACTTCTTTCACATTTGGGCTTGTAGACATGGTAGATGCTGGACAAACTAAGAATGCTGGACAACCTAGGGTTCCCTGACCCCACTTAAGATGAAACTGAGCAATTAACACACTTTGGGGAATTGTAAGGTCAGAAAATCAGCCTAGCAGGCTTGTACCCCTTCACAGGTGTGTAATTAATTGCAAAGAAAAGTCAGAATAACTAAATATATATGAAAATTAAGAACAGTTTTTGAAAAAAGCCAGTTTTCTCCAACGCTGGTCGGCCGACCAGCGTTGGAAAAATACACTTTTTCTTGAAAATGTCAGCACACCAGGAGTCACAATTTTACAGGATGCTTTAGACTGTCATTCCCCGACAGTCCATTAAGGTATTTCATGATAATTCGATATTTCATTTTTTGATGTTTGCAAATGTTATATTTTCCCTTTAATACACAAACAATGCCAACGTTTAGGCCAAAAAAACAAATAGTCGGTCTCTGGTCAGACCAAAGTTCGGGAATTGACGCGGCCACGCGGCTTTTTTTTTTTTTTTCTTCAAGCTTGGATTGTACAGACAATGGTGGGTACTATTTTGCTTTTTTGGTGTCCTCATGTACAATGTACATGTACATTGGTGTCCTCCATAATTTGCCTTGGTGCTATCGATCATTTGCCTTGGTGAAATTTCTCATTCCTGGTGCTCTTTGGTAAAAAAAATTGAGGTGCAGAAATAGAGGGCGCTGTTGGAGCTACTGCGGAACATTTTGGAAAAAAAAAAGATCGACGCGCATGATTAAAATCGACGCGCGCGCTGACCAGAGACCGACTTATTTTTTTTTTTGGCCTTACCATCGTTTTCAAAATTGGCGCAGGTGGAACGAATGTTTGCCACCAATGTTGGTGAATATTAACAAAACCATGGCAGACAGTTAATGTCCCCCCCCCCCCCAAAAAAAAACAATCAAGATGAAATGTTTGCCAAATGCCAGCTGCTGGAAAATGCTTCGGTAAAATGTTCTTTTAATACAGTAGGCCCTATGTCAAATGTGCATTTCAATTAATGTTGGATTTAAATGAATTTACAAAATGTTGCAGCTTTTTAAGCTGTGAATAATAAATATGATAAAATATGATGAAACAATTGCAAACAGGGTACTATGTGAAATATGACTGGTTTTTTTATTACAGTGAATGTGAAACAGCAAAATTCAAAATGATAAATGCCAAAAAAAAACAAAAAAAAAATATATATATTCTTGTAAAAAATATTACTTGTAAAAATGTCAGCACAGTATTGTACCTTATTTTATACCATGTTCACAATTTACCTCAGATCCGGAAAAAAAAAGTCAATTTCAAATGATTTTTTCCTTTCGTCTGAAGCTATGCAACAATCCTATTAATCAATTACATGCACGCAAGACAAATTCTAAATTCATGACTGAATGCGTTTGATTGTCCGATCAAGCGATACCGGTACAGTCTGTCTACCAGTGAAACAATTCAACAGTATTTCACCTTATTTTATACCATGTTCACAATTTACCTCAGATCCGGAAAAAAAGTCAATTTCAAATGATTTTTTCCCTTCGTCTGAAGCTACATATGCAACAATCCTTTTAATCAATTACACGCACGCAAGACAAATTCTAAATTCGTGACTGAATGCGTTTGATTGTCCGATCAAGCGATACCGGGACAGTCTGTCTACCAGTGAAACAATTCAACTGTATTGAAAGACAAATCCAGTCGTAAATATTCAAACACAAAACACTCATCAAAAAATCCTAAACTATAATTTCAGGGCAGCTTTTCCTACCCACCAATAATTTCAGGGCAGCTTTTCCTACCCACCAAAAAAACAACATATGCAAATTGCAATTAACACACACAACACGCAGTGATGGCCTTCACTGGCAATGTACATATCTCGCCTCAACGAACACACAAAGTCAGTTTGATACAAACACGGCAGGCGAGACTAGGATAATGCAATTTACACATAAGGAGCGGACAGTGTGGAATATTTACATGTTATATATCTGGCCCATTATTGATCGACTTGCCGACAATGCTGCATATTTATTGTCTGTGTGTGAAGGTCAACAAAAATGATGACTTGGCAAGTAAAGGAAATTGGGAAAAAATGGAAAATCCACAAAATTCAACGTAAAGTGAAATATTGAAGAAAAAAAAACATGTTTAGCGTCCTGCCTTTAAAAAAGCGAGAGGCCCTTTCTTTTTCTCAAAAATGGCCGCCCGACCAGGCTATTTAACAAGATAGCTGCCAATTTTTTGGTTTTATTAATGGCCGCCATTGGACTCAGTAAATGCAATAACAGCTTTATATGGGATAGATGCAACAGATAAAGAGGCCAAAATGATGTCACTGTAGAAAATGTATCCTTTTTTCGGTAAAAAAAAAAAAAAAAATGAGGCAGCCTCCCAAAAACATATTTTGGTTTTTATTTCACCTATAAAACAGTAGAGGGTTGGAGGGTTTGCAGAGAGCCGAGAGCAGCATAGGGTCTATGGTGCATGTTTGTACAGGGTAAGTAAAAAAAACAACACCTAAATGGCACCCCTTTTTGTAAAGAAGTTCTAATGTAGCGCTTCCCAGATCTAGGATGTGAAAGCCCAATCAATAAGCTTTCTTTTAGTACAAGAATCATTCAAATCGCTCATCTATTTTTCGAGTTATGGAATTTTGAACACGTACACAGTTTTGCGATTTTAATCACATTAAAGGTACAAGACACTTCAGCAAAATGAAACCATGTTGTATCATGAAAACGATATCAGAATAATCACATATTCTCCTGGTAGCCAAGTAGAAGGCAGGGCAAGACTATTAACTCTTCACTTTATAAAAGATGTGGTTTCTTTCATTGGAAGCTGAAGGTGATTAATTCACTCAAACCCTCCCCCCCCCCCCCCCTGCCCTGCAAACAGGACGCTGGGATACTCTGATGAGCTTCACAGAATCTTGTGAAAGAAGTGGCCTATGACCTATGTATAAAGCATCTGGCTGAAGCTGTTTTAGTCCATGCGTGCAAATGCTATCCGAAAACTTCCTATAGAAATGCGCACATTCCATACCGGATATGATTTCTCAACACAGATAAGTTTTACAGAATTTCCTACATTATTACGCTTTTCAACGAGAAAAAAAATCTCTTAAACTAGAATAAAAGAGTAATGAATCAGTCTCAACGGCCATTTCAAACCTTGCAGAGTCATGACCTTGATGACGCGCAGGTCACAGGTCATGCAAAATCCAGCCAATTAGAGTGTGAATTCATCAGAGTATCCCAGCGTCCTGTTTGCAGGGCGAGGGGTACGAGCGGAGGTGATTAAATGAAGGTTATGATAAGTGCCAGTTATCATGCGTTTGTTTATGGTGTAGATTGTGGACACACACGTGCAACATCATCCGTGAATTGAGGACAGGAACCAAATCGATGACGACCTTGATTTAATAGAAAACGTGTACAAAACCAATGAGAGCTGTTGCCAAAAAATTAAGGTATAAACAAAGGAAAAGGGAAGAGGACCAATAGAAAATCCTTGATTTACACCATAAACAAACATGGGTACCGGTACTTATGAGAGTGTTCCGAATTTTTTTTATATGTGAATTGTTTTTCGTTTTGCTGAAATAATGTATCATTTACCTTTATTGTGATATGTGGACAAAATTATAAAATTGTGTTTGTGTTTAACAGTTCATAACTTGAAAAGTACATGAGCCATATGAATGATTCTTTTACTAAAATAAAGCTTATTAATTGAGCTTCTACATCCTAGATCTTGAATGCGCTACATGCAGAACTTCTTAAAAACGAATTCGGGGGCGCCATTTGGGTTTCCTTTTTTTTGACGCACCCTGTGTTTGCCTAAAGGCACCTCTTAAAATACCAATTTCTTTTGCTCGATATAAACTTTTGTACGTACTAGAAACACCTTTTGCGGGGAAACCTCAGGAATATCGGATTTCAAAAATGAATTCTTCTGAAAATCGTGAGATCAGAAAAAACCCTTACAAAATATCCTGAAATCTGGACAAATCCTGGAAAAAAAATCCAGAAATTGGGAAAAATCCTGGGGAAAAAAATTCACAAAATTAAGAAAAATCCTGACAAATTTCACTCCTACTTGAGCATGTTGAGAAAGCAATGGTGAATCGTCAAAATGTGGATTGGATGGAAAAAGGCAATTTCGCATCAGATTCATTTTAAAAAATGTGAAATTTAAAATGAATACAATATACCCACTACAGGGTGTATGTATTTTTTTACAGCACAGCAGCAGTTAGTTAGAAGGTCGTGTAGATGACCCCAGTCAGGTTGACAAAACCTCTAAGCTATTAAGTAGACTTGATAAAGGCGTGTAAACCATTTAATGATAAGGCGGGCAAAAGTGAAGGTAGCCAGTTCTTTGTTGTTTGGCTTGTAAAGTGAGACAACACAAGATGACCAACCATTTAATATTAAGGGGGACAAAAATGAAGGTAGCCAGTTCTTTGTTGTTTGGCTTGTTGTAAAGTGAGACAACACAAGATGACCAGCCATTTAATGATAAGGTGAGTAAAAACGAAGGTAGCCAGTTCTTTGTTGTTTGGCTTGTTGTAAAGTGAGACAACACAAGATGACCAACCATTTAATGATAAGGGGGGCAAGAGTGAAGGTAACCATTTCTTTGTTGTTTGGCTTGTTGTAAAGTGAGACAACACAAGATGACCAACCATTTAATGATAAGGTGAGGAAAAATGAAGGTAGCCAGTTCTTTGTTGTTTAGCTTGTTGTAAAGTGAGACAAGATAAGATAAATGTATCTGCCGAAGTGGTGACCTACCTGAAAAAGGGTCATAAAAACCAAGAGACTAGAAGAGTAAATAGGGTTTGTTTCATTCAAGAACTTTAAAAAAAAAAACACTGAAAAGGAACAAAAGTAAACACAACCAAATCAAACATATTACTTAGAGACACCCCGAACAATATATGAACATGGACACGTATCTATGCTTTATCAAGCGAAACCACGCAATTGCGATTTCAATCAAAGTTTGATTTAGCCAAACTTACATACACAGCTTTACACATCATAAGGAAGATTTTTAAGGAAGATATAAATCAATGAATCCATCCACAAAAATGATTTATCAACGAATCGAGTTGCTCATTCAATCAATCCACAATCAATAATGGATCAATCAAAACTTCCAACAAGGAACAAATCACCATTTCGATGATCAATCAATCAATAAATTCACACACACACAAATATAAATCAATCAATCAGCATTTCATCAAAAATATAATCGGCCAATAACAGGGTTCACAGCACTTTACGAAAACAACTTTGAATTCCCTGATTTTCCCCTGATATTTCCTCGAGAAATTGTTACTGAATTAAACATACCTGTCTCTAAGATGGCCGCTATGTATACTATAAGGTCCATGGACACAACATGGACACATGGCACAAGATGCACACAAGCCAAACTGGCGAAAACCTTTTGCTTCTGGGTCATTCTCAATTCCCTGAGTTTCCCTGATATTTAGTGTGTTGTTTCCCCCAGAAATACCCTGATTTTTCCCTGACTGGAAAAATAGACACTCATTTTCAAGGTTTTTCCTGATTTGCAGATCTGGGAACCCTGAATAAATAGTTCAATCAATCAAGCTAGGTTGGCCATCAGCCTGGGGGTTTGGTCAGTATCAAATCAGGGCATAAATGATTATAGTGCGCATGCGCAAGGTATACTGCCCCTAGAGTGGTAACAAACATTTTAATGGGCATTTTGAAAAAAAGGGTGATAACACCCAAAAAGCTGCCACCGCTGCAATGCTATCACATATTTTCCAACTCTGGAGGTGTATACCTTGCCAAAAATCGCTATGATGATTATTCCCCTCATTTGATACTGGAGGCCAAAATTTTGGACTGAGGCTTATGGCCTACGGTACAGTTTATCAACAAACCATCAATAAATTATGGATCATCCAACACATCAAGATAATCAAGAATCAAAACAAAAGGAGTTTTAAGACCAACCTGCCAGGAAGAAGAAGTAAACGGCCTTAAACGGCAGCAGCACGCGGTTGACACGCATATCCAGCTTCATGGCTGCATGCATCCCGAATGACACGCGACGGGTAATGAGATGCAAATGCCTGCTTGACTCATCCTACCGCATGGGTTCTAGGTGATGAAGAAAGAATTCAAGAGCAAGGAAGTATGGATATCGAATGCCTCATTAAAAATGCAGATATCACATCTTATAGCTGGCCTCAAGTGCCGCTGTTTTTGCCACTCAATGCCTCTATATGTGATGGGATCAGGCTAAATGAGTCGTTTGTCAGGAATATTAATTTGTAGAGTCAGGCCAAAATAGGGCCACTTCATCACATCACTTCATCACATTTCTTGGTGTTCTGACTTTTTGAACTAAAGATGCTATCAGCATGCAGTTTTCACAGCAGTAATGCTGAGATTGTGCTCTTTTCAAATCTGTAAAAAGCGATAAAAAATGACCAGGGTCGACAAACGACTTAATTAGCTTAATCTCATCACAGATCATCAAACATTTTTAAGTTTAACTAGAAAACGGATTTGGCAAACACAGCATACATGTGGCAAAATAATTTTACAAAATCAAGGTTAATTCTGCAAAGTTTGTATATTGTATAAATATTTTATATCAGGATTTCTATTCATGACAAGGTATTAAATGGACGTCATACATGTATATGCAAACATTCACAAATAAAACTGTCAAAATGTTATGAAATATTGATCCTTCTTGAAATAATAGGATAGGCCCCAATGCATCCTGTAAAATCATTTCACCTAGTGGGCTGTCATTTTGGAGACATGAGGAGTTACATGTACCATCTTTTTAATTGCGATGGTTACAACCAAACCATTGCATTCTCTGTGAAAACTGACAAATTGCATCAAAAAAAAATGTTTAACATTTTCTCAAAAAGTATACATAATATATCTATTGAACAGAAAATTCGACAGGTTAGTTTTTTAAATGTAGAGTATATCATTTGCAGCTATTCAAAAAAGTAACTGACAAAATTGTTGTTGACAAGCTTACTTGGTTTAAAGATACGTGTAGTAATGGCACTAAACTCCCTGTGAAATTATTATTTCTGGCATGCTGTCATTTTGAACTTGAAGAAAACAATAAAAGAACCTGTTACCTGTCATTTCCAAAAGTGCGTCTAAAGATGCATAATATTGAATTTCCGTTAGTACATGTACATGTAGTTAGTTTTAAATTTGGTGAAGCTGTGAATGGGTGCAAGCGTTGACACGTCGCACACGCGCGCCCGGTTGCTATAATTTATCGGTTCAGTGCGTGATATCGCACAACTGCAATTGGCCGAAAGAGCATGACGCATGATTTCGGGCACAACTCAAAACACAATTTTTGAATTGAAATTAAGATCCTAGAATACTGTTTTCTAAAAATATACAGCATTCACAGAGCTAAAACTTCATCAGGTTGGTTGTTAAGCACCCTTCCTTAGATTCTGAGCACTTTTGTTACATCAAACAAACAAGTGCACAAACGACAAATGATCTATACTCTACCTTTAACAAACTGCTTCAGATTTATTGTCGTGTTCCCTGAATCGGCAAAAACACATTTTCTGCAAATGTTATCCACTAGACCACTACCTATACTTAAAGTACAATATATTTCTGAGAGTACGAGTATTTGATGTGTGTACATTGTACATGTATACACATAGCTCCAACTTGGTGTAAGGACTTCAAACTCTTAACTATTTGCGGAAAACCTCTCATTTGGTACTAAAGCAGAGTCACTCAAATTGTTCACAAAACTGCTCTTCAAGCAAAGAAATCAAATCGAAGTTTATAACAAAGTTAAAAACTAGTCTCTCACAGGTCAATGACACTGACAGCAGCAGAGGACTGAAGTTTTGGCTGTATACACATTTTATGCGCAGGTCGCTGATTTTTCAACTACAAGTAGTTAATTCTTTCAATTAAGGAATTTCTCAGCGGGCGCAGAATTCGACACAGTAGGGTGCAGCCGTTTAGCACAGCCCGTTGCCCTAATGAAGAGATTGCTAAAAGCGTCATTTACAAATGCCCAGCGGTAGGTATACCAGTATAATATCAAAGACACCACAGGTCTATACAAATAAGTAACTACAATGTAGTACTCACCTTGAATGCATATCCCATAATTTAGCTTTCGTCATTTTTGATGCGTTCCCATACTGCAGGATTGGTGAACAAGAAATTCTGAAAAAGACACAGTATTACAACTGGCATTCAAATTTATGAATTCAATTCAATTCATGTTAAAGGGAATATACAGCATTTGCAAACATCGAAAAATAAAACTACCAAGTTGTTACGAAATACCTTACTAGGATGTTGGTAAATGACATGCTTAAGCATCCTGTAAGATTATGGCACCTGGTGTGAAGCCATTTTCAAGAAAATGGTATATTTGTATACATTTCCAACGCTGGTCGGCCGACCACCGTTGGAAAAACGTAACTATTTTTCAATTACTGCTCCAAATTTACCATTTTTTTTAGTCTAAATTTTGTTTTGCTAGCTACTGGTTCCATGTTCATGAACGGGTGCAGGCCAGCTAGACTGGTTCCCTTACCTTACAATTTTCCGGTATTTTTGATCCATTTCATCTTTAGCGGAGTCAGGGAACCAGACTACTTGAATATTTTTGTTTTTCTTGGTTTTTCCAGCATTTTCGAACACAAAACGTCAACATGTCAGTGCAACAATATTTGATCTATTATACTAACCTCCCAAATAGTTCATTTCTGAAAATTACAGCAAAAGCCAATGATGTACATTCCCTTTAACATTTATTTCCATGTTGCAAAGAGCGTTCAAGTAACTACATTGTATACAGAAGGTCAATATACGAACTATGTTTGAAAAAATACAAGGTGAATAATTATGTGACAGACAACTGAAAAAAGGGGGCAGTAATGGAGGCATATTCAAAAGACAAATGTCTTGTATACAGGGTGTCCCAACAAAAATGCTCCACTCTCCTTTTTTTTTTACAAATTCAAGCAAACCTGAATGCATAAATGTTCTTATTATGCATGGTAAGAATGATATGTGTCTTGGTTGTTATCTACCAAAAAAATTGGATCATACTATAGATCAATCCACTAGGGACAGAAACAAACCAACCATGGCATTGTCCATTTATTGGACTTTGACACGTAACAATTGTTCACCTATGGCTGATTGTTCACAATTGTTACGTGTGGTTGATTTACAAATGGGTATTTTTAGTCAAAGTCCAATAAATGGACCATGCCATGGTTGGTTTGTTTTCTCTTGTTTGCTTGACACCAACTGATGACTGGTCTTTCATAATAGATACCAAGTAGAATTTTTGAAAAGCACACTTGACAAAAATCAAAATTTAAAATTGGTGATTTATGGAGGTCTGAACACCAAGAGATGGGATGAAGTGATGTGATGAAGTGGCCCTATTTTGGCCTGTATCTCCAAATGAAAGTTCCCGACTCATGTAGCGTGATCGCATCACATTTACTAAGAAAACACGTGGAATTTTTCAGAACAGTCTCGTAGGGTTTGTGCACAGGGTGTCAAGTGACGTCTAGGTATGGAACTCTTTCAGATTTTCTAACGTCATCAACAAAGAAATTTTGCAACAGTTTTTGAATTCGGAAAGATTTCCATATACGAAGTTCACTAGTTTTCCTCTGTATTGACTAACACGCCCCCAGATAGTAATTTCATGTCATCAAAGTCAATTTGAGCAGTGAGAAAATACAAGCATTTTCTTAGAAAACACTTAAAATTTTTCAGTCCAATCTCATAGGGTTTGTACACAGGGTGTTGAAATAACTTCGTATATATATGGAAATCTTTCCTTGAATTCTCTCGATGACATAAAGAGCTTTTATTATTTCACATACATTGAGAACACTATTTCCTCATGATTAGGCTGAGTAAACAAAAAACCCTTTCTCATCCATTTGTTGCCATCCAGGCTTTTTAAAAAAAAACCGACAAAATACTGACAGAAATTGCAAAATATATTGCAAAAGAATGAATTTAAAAGAAAAAGAAAAAAAAGGAGGCAGGCGGGAAAAAGGAAGCAGGTCAAGAGGAAAAACTGGTTTATTTTTTTACTTGGCCTTATCTCCCGAAATAGACCCAGTAACTGGAAAAATGTTGCAACCTGACGCCACTTTTTTCTTCATATATCATCTCATTGAAGGTCACTCATTGCAAGAATGATGATGAATCTGGGACTGAGAAACATTTCCAATTTTGTTAGGAAATACTTCGAAAATTGTTCTTGACTCTCCATAGACTTTGCACACAATCGCCGAAGTGGCGTCAGGTTGCAACATTTTTTTCCCCTAATCTGGTCTGAATTAATTACGAGGGAATATGGTTGCAGAATAGAAATTTATATACATGTGACAGAAAAGAATACATGTCAATTGTCATGCATGAACTATGTAGCACTTGAGATAAATTTGGAAAAAATGTTGCAACCTGACGCCACTTTTTTCTTCATATAACATCTCAATGAAGGTCAGTCATTGCAAAATTGATATGACATGAATCTGGGACTGAGAAACATTTCCAATTTTGTTAGGAAATACTTTTAAAAAATTCTTGACTCTCCATAGACTTTGTACACAACCGCTGAAGCGGCGTCAGGTTGCACATTTTGTTCCATCTATTTCTTTGAGTAAACTGTAGTTGTGGAATTTCAAAACATTATAGAGATTGCCTTTGAAGTCTTGAAGAACTCCCTCAACATTCGTGTATGTAGATGTTGTGGTAGTGCAAACATTGCATCATGATAATTAATTAACGCAGTGGCTATCGTTACGGCAGCCGTAACGCATTTCCCATTTTCTATCGTTACGGTAGTACTGCAACTTTTATAAAAACATGAGAAGAAAATATATAATTAGAAGGAAAAAAAGTGAATTTGAACGTTATGAAATTTGGACTTTATTTCCCTTTTTAAAAAAATCCTCCAAAGCCTCAGGTTAGAAAAGGAAAAAAGTTCGAGTGCAAAACTGAGATGCGAACCCGCAACCTCGCGGTGCAAAATCCTACCCTCTATCGACTGAGCTGTCGCACTGCTCGCTAAATCGTGGGGAAACAAATAATTATATACCTGGTGCGTATCAAAAAAGTATCGTTGAGGGCGCCAAACAACGGCTGCCGTAACGATAGCCACTTCGATTAATTAAAGAGCACGCACTAACGCAGTCATTGAAAATGTACAAAGACATTCACTACAAAGACCACTTGACTGCATCTTGACTGTTTTCATTATGTCTTGTCTACACAAGTTAAAATCCAACACGTGAAACGATACTTACCTACTATATTTATGTTTCATGAGCATCCACAAAGGTTCTGTTCAATCTATACACAATATTTCATTTTTAAACCGGTGTTTTCAGTCAGCTCGTCATCATGTGTGTCACGCGTCATCGGTGACAAATAATTCCCGCATTCATAAACAACATGCAAAATAATTTTGTTCAATGGAGGGCGCTATTGCATTTATGCGGCGCGCGGAAGAAGAACAAATTGAGTACGATTTTGAGCATTGTTTTCTCTCAAATTGTCACTTAAGTTAATGTTCGAAGAGTGCAAGATATCTCGCATCATAGGATAAGGTAAGGAGGTATGACTTATAGAGATGCTTTATTTCGGGTTTTCTTGGCAATCGCTAGCGTAGCTGCCTCGGATCAAAGTCTGACTTTTGGCGGTCCTTTTGAAAACCGTCATGTGTATCGATGCGGATTGCATGCAGCGTTGTGCAAATTAAATGTATGTCACTATGTGTGTCAATGTCATTGTGTATGACAACATCATGTCGAACATGTAGGCCATCATATGAACATGTATGTACATATACATGTGAACTGTACGTACGTGTACGTAGCTTATACTTCGTAGGCCCAGAATGAGTGCGGTAGGCACACAGATGGAATAGCCTAGCCCTACATCTATGCATCTTACAAGATTTCAGCATGGCATTGTTCGCTAGGCATGCAAGGCCTACCTATTCATTTGCGATATAGGCTTATTGCTTGGCCTTGCCCTTGGTAAAAATGGTAACTTTTTAATTCAATTGAAATTGTAATGTTTTTCTTCTTTCTTCGACTTCGGTAGTCCCTAATTTGCAGAAAGCATGCAGAAAGCAATCAACTGTTTTTGAACATTTTGGTATTTTTAGTAGTTATTTAATAAGTACCATGTAGCTTGACACAATCAAAATGAATAACTACTGTCAACTTCAATAGGCCTACAGGGAGAATTTAATTCCATGCACGGACTAATTTTTCTCTGCACTGCAGTGACCTACCAGCCATCAGAAAACAATAACATGTCCTAAAAAGTCAAGTGATGTCCAGGTATGGAACTCTTTCTGGAAGATTTACTAAAATGAACAATTGAACCAAATGACCGTATAACATAATTTATTTTTGTTCATAATTTTCATTTTTCCATAGTGTTGTTTTTTCAGAAATGCACTAATGGGCTTAAGAAAAATCAACTTTCATTCTTCAACTTAAAAATATTTTTTTCACCGGCAGGATACAAGGCCCGTACAATGACCACGCTAGCAGAGCAGAGGTTCACCGCACTGCGCAAGCGGCTTGACCAGCTAGGCTACAGACAGGCCCTGGGCATCGAGTCCCTCCCGTTGGTGGAGAAACTCTTCAATGATCTGGTGCACACAACCAGCAGCTTGAAAAATGCCAAACTGCAGGTAAAGGCTGCTACGCCCGACTATGGCCATGGTCCCAACTACAGTACCAACAACAGTAGCAGAAGTCCTCACTATAATTGGGTCAATCCTAAGTATTAGTTGGAATCGAAAGTTTGGACGATGCCATAGTTGGGGCGAAACAAAGTCGGCATCTATAATCTTTTGTCCAGAGCTATCGTCTATAGGTCTTCTGTCCATTGCAACTACATGTACTAGTATGTGGGAACTTATGTTGTGCAAACCCGACCAGAAACCGAAACCGACCTGACCCGAAACCGACTTCAGTTTTGCGTTTGCGATTTTCGGGTCGGGTCAGTTAAGCCATTGGAAAGAATGTTGCAACCTGACGCCACTTTTTTTTCTTCATATATCATCTCAATTCAATGAAGGTCAGTCATTGCAAAAACGATGATAAGACATGAATCTGGGACTGAGAAACATTTCCAATTTTTATAAGATGGAATTTTTTTTTGCATCGGGATGATTTTTTCCAACTTTCACTCGGGAGGTAACACACTGAGTATTCGGTGTTTAAAGGGCAAAATCTAATTTGATTTCCAATTTTGTTAGGAAATACTTTTCTTGACTCTCCATAGACTTTGTACACAACTGCTGAAGTGGCATCAGGTTGCAACATTCTTTCCAAGCCATTTTGGAAAAACCCGAAATAAACCGAAATGAACTAAAACAGAATGGAAATTCACATGGTGCACTATATTTAGTGCAGAGTCACTGTGCACGGTGCGACTAAAACTGGTTTGCGGTCTGTCTCGATCAGCCTATAACATGCAGGCCCACCAGTAGGTCACGTTGTGAGTGCAGCACGGCATGATTCAGTTACTTTAAGCCAACATTTTTTTACGCGAAGCTGGTCAGTTTAGGCGCAAAAAGCGAACACATTAGCCGAAGCCGGGTTTTTTTTCAGGTCGGTTTCGATCGGTTCGGATGGGTTTTCTTTGAATTGGTGTCGGGTCAGTTTTTGGTAGTCCAGTTCGATTTCGGTTGGATTCAGTGTATAAAATAAATGTCTCGGGTCGGTTTGGCCTCGTCAACCCGCACATCACTAGTGGGAACAGGCTGGCACTAGACGTAGCCATCAAAAGTTCTTTTCTTGTCACTGCAGGCAAGTAGGACCGTCGAAGACAAACCCCCAGTCTGCACGGACGAGGCCTACCGCAGCGACAACGCCAAACTGGTCAGGGAAAACAACGACCTCCACCTCCAGCTCATCAAGCTTAAGGAGGACAGCGAGGCCACCATCAAAGACCTCAAGGCCGCACTGCGCAAGGTGGAGCATGAGAACGCCGACCTGCGGTTCCTCAACTCCCAGTTTGTGCACAAGGTGCGGAGCCTGGAGAAGGAGTCTAAGGCCAAGGGGGACCGGATCAGTCAACTGCAGGAGAAGAACTTTCAGGCCGTGGTGCAGACGCCCGGTAGGTTGGCTTTACTTTTAGGGATGTACTTGAGTCCATCACAAGTCCAGTTACAAGTAATTCAAAAGTCCAGTCACAAGTAATTCACAAATCCAGTCACAAGTCCAATCACAAGCCAATCACAAGTCCAGTCACAAGTAAATCACAAGTCCAGTCACAAGTAAATCACAAGTCCAGTCACAAGTAATTCACAAGTCCAGTCACAAGTAAATCACAAGTCCAGTCACAAGTAAATCACAAGTCCAGTCACAAGTAATTCATAAATCCAGTCACAAGTAAATCACAAGTCCAGTCACAAGTAAATCACAAGTCCAGTCACAAGTAAATCACAAGTCCCGTCACAAGTAAATCACAAGTCCAGTCACAAGTAATTCACAAGTCCAGTAACAAGTAAATCACAAGTCCATCTCAAGTAAATCACAAGTCCAGTCACAAGTAAATCACAAGTCCAGTCACAAGTAATTCACAAGTCCAGTCACAAGTAAATCACAAGTCCAGTCACAAGTAAATCACAAGTCCATCTCAAGTAATTCACAAGTCCAGTCACAATAATATCACAAGTCCAGTCATAAGTAATTCATAAATCCAGTCACAAGTAATTCACAAGTCCAGTCACAATCACAACAAGTGAAGAAAAAAACAGTTTCTTGTCTGGCCTTTTTGAAAAAAAAAGAAATGTGGAGGTCCTTTTTTTTTTCCCAAGATGGCCGAATATCTAAGATGGCGGAAATTCCAAGATGGCAGATGGATTAATAAAAAAATGAATAGAAGTAAATTTTCTTGACTCTTTTACCGATACTTTTGTGTCCAAAGGAGCCGTTGCCCTTTCTACCAGATGTTGAACTTGCATACATTTCTACAAGTTTTGCTGGAAACAAATAAAGAGAGATAATATATTGCAAATGTATGATTTAAAAAAAAAAAAACATTGATAAGGAGGCGGGAAACTGTTTTGTTTTTTACTTGGCCTCAGCATGAAGTGCCATTCTGTGAGTGATAGACATGTTTAGACACTTGTTGTAATTAATCTATTTGCATGTAAACTAAATTACATTGGCAAGTATGATGTTAATTTTTTGAAACGTACAATTTGATTTTGTCTTGGGCACAGGCGGCCGTAAGCGGCACATCCCCTTCCGGCGCCAGAGAATGGACATCGACTGCACCGTGCCCGCCGATGACGACCCCTACTCATCCCCACTAGCCGAGCAACGCGGTGTCCGCGACACCTCGGACGACCCTTACGTGGCAGACTTGGTGAAGGTCGCCGATAACAGGGCGGAGTCTCTCAGACGGGAGGCGGAACAGCTGAGCGCGGAAAAGGAGAGAAACGAGAAGGCAATCAAGAGACTCACTAAGCAGGTGAGTGAGTGGTTAAGATTACACCTCATGCATATGTATTAGCCAAACATGCTTCTTTCATTGGTTGGATCAAGAGACACACTTAGCAGGTGACTGTAATAGTGGTTATACTACACCTCATGCATATTTATAAGCATGCTTTTTCATATCAGATCCTTTTAATTTTGACTCTCTGCCCTCAAATTTAATGGATTTTTTTCCGCCAGGTGATAAAAGTTACAACCTTTAGTTTCTCCCAAGCTTTTGAGTTTTGACCCTAGCAAGCTCAGTAGTTGACATCTGAACTTCCCAACAGGATATTGCAGGCTCAGGTCCCTCACAAAAAACAAAATTACTCGTTTTTTTTCACAAGCTCTCGGCAATCGTTGTTATATCAAATGTGATTTGTGTTACTGATTTGTGTTACTGATATAAATTTTAATTGGTTTTACTCTAATATCTGATATTGCGGCAGTGTCTGATCAAGTCCAGAGACTACAAAAATGGTTCATACTCTTCATTTATGAACTAGTGTGATTTTTGCTTGCATTCAAATTAACAGATTCAAAATGAACAAATTTACACAGAATATTTAGTATGCATACTATGTATGTGAGGTGCTCTGGCAAAAATGAGATGGAATTGGGCACAGGCCATATTGGAGAAACATGAATGGGGGTAATTTTTTTTTTCAATTTTCAGATTTATTGCTATTTATAACCTTTGATATGTCTACCACACATATTTTAAACAAATTGTATTTAAAAAATCATTGAATGAAAGTGGTTTTAAGGAAAGAAAGCTAATTGGCATCTGTCATTTGCAAGACTACGAAACTTGAAAAATAAAAGGCCTTTTTCTCGGTATTTTACTTTTTGACATGTCGATAAACGCAAACTTTAAACAGCCATAACTTGTCAATGGAATGTCTGATTGAAGTGCAACAAACAGTATTGTAAGGAGAATTTTATTCTCTTTCATAATACCTGCAAACCCTCATTTCGACCTCTGCACAGTTCTGTCTCATTTTGCCAGGAGGCCTCACATGTGTTTTCAATGTGTGCGTACTTCCATCTGAAGTAATAATTATAATAATCAAGGAGAAATAAACAGTCGTACAATTGTAATTAAAAATTCAATTATAAGTGAAATTTCAAGATTGCATGAGACACATTTATTAATTTTATGTTTTATCTTCCACATTCGGAAACACTTACCTGTTAGGCAAACTAATGCCATAAATGCACATGTACAGTTTTGTAATCTATTCAGTAAATCCTAGGCCTACTAATTCTTCAAGTTCAAGTAAACTTGATCATTTTAGTTTTGAAAAATTAAAATTTGATAAAAGCTTCCTTCTTTAAACATTCCCAAGATTTTGTGAATAAAACATATTTGCCTAAGGCCAAGTAAAAAAAGTAGAAAACATGTTTAGCAACTGGGTTTTTGGAGAAAAAAAGGGAGGAGGCGGAGATTTTTTTTTTTTTTTTCAAGATAGCCGACAACCGTTGGTTTTTACACTGTTCAAAGAATAAAAAAATAACAGACATGCTGGACAAGAGAATTAAACATATTTTCAGTGTTTTTAATAGTTTTCTAGCACTTTTTTATAAGAATTAAAAAACACTGCCGCACAGGCATTCTTGTACACGTCGAGGCTGGTTTGGAGATCGCAGGGTCGACTGCATGATGTAGGAAGTGACCGATAGAGTCTAGAATTCGAAGTTCCGATTTGCAAGTATTTGAAATTTACGATGGATCGGTCGACATTTTGGGTTGGTTTTTTTTTTTTTTTTTAAATCCAAGCGGCCGCCAAAAAGGAAGCGGGTGGGGACGCTAAACATGTTTTTATTTTTTTTTACTGCACCTAATAAACACTTGTCTTGTAAATACTAAGCACAACATTTACTATGAGCATCTCTGCTAAATGGACACTAATACTATTTGGATTATGCTCGTAAAAAAATAATTGATCACTGAGATATTTGCCCTTTGTAGACGTTAAATCACTTGTTGCCTAGTCACCATAGAAATTACACAGTGAAAATCTGCACAACAAGAACATTTGCTGCAAATTATGCCTAAAGTACGATCTTATTAACCTCAATATGCTCACACTATAGCCTGACAGCATTACACGCCAAGCCCATTGTACATGTACTGTACACACTGTGTATGACACATGCAGCCTGCTTCCTTCCGGTTCGGTAGATGGTTGTGACTTTTCAGTGTTTTACCCCTACCTTTATTTGGAAAAAGTTTCATCTGATTTCAATTTTGTGTAGCAAGACTGTAAATCGGGTGAAATCACCTACCATTGGTGATCCAAGAAGTATTGTTGAAGTTATATTGACTGTTCGAATACATTTACTTTATAGGCCTATGTGTGTGCAAACATGCCAGTGAAAGACTGTGCACGCTTCACGATCCCCTCTGTGCATAATGGAACCTCCCATTGTCCCTCACAACTGTTACCAGGCACGCCACCCTTTTACAACACCCCTCCAGGACTGACCTTTGATCAGCCCAATCCATATGTAAATAAGCTTTCAAAAACCCCACACTGTGATTGGACAAAAGGCGATTTATTGACATGCTGGGTTGTTGAATGAAGAGGGTCCTGGACCATTGATAAAGTGGGTAGAGTAGTGGTTTTTACACAGTGTTAATGGGGGATTATTAGGGCAGGTGGTTTTGTGACCTCATTAGCATATAGAGGTCAACACTTCATTGATAAGTGTGCCCATCCTACTACACACACTCACTCACTGTGCACACACAGATATGCACAGCCGTTAGGTTTAAAAACCGGCAGTCACTTCAGCATCAGAACACCATTGCTTTAAAATATCTCATGTTTTGAGGAGAAAATATCCAACCTGTCGGGTTGTTGATTATGATTCTTATGATTCAGGAGTGATTCTTTTAACTTTACCAAAAAATGGCTGATAGTTCTAAGCGAAAGACTAAGCCTAGAAGACAGGTAAGTTGTTAAATTAAATTGACTTTTGGTATTTTATTTTATGTGTGATAATTGAATGCAATTCATTATCTACCACCTGTCATGAATTGCATAATGTGATCCTATTGTAAAGCAGCTGTAATATATTTATGTCTCGTTTGTTGTACATGTCATGATTTTTTTTAATGGTTTTCCACAAGCTTTAATGGTGCCTCATTAAATTTACTCATTAAAATTTCATGTGCCATTAAATTTCTTGTCATTGTCATATAAAATGTTATGGCATGTATGGACATGAAATTTATTTATGATGATTTTTTTTTTTTTAAACCTAGCCGCCATTTGAATGACCTTCATACATTGTACTAGCTTGAGTAACTCCAGCTGACATGCTCATATTCATTCACATGTAGCATGTGAATGAATATGAGTATGTCAGCTGGAGTTACTCAAGCTAACATTGTACATGCTATTTTCAAGCCTGTTCTAAAAACGCCTATGTTATGAAATTCTTCATGGTTATGTTTAGGATTAATTTCTCATTTTTCTGCAAATCAATTACAGTTAAATATTACTCTAGGCTTCGTTGTATTGAAAAACACAAGAACTCTTTTCCAAATTATCAAGTTTCCAAGCATATGAGGTGTAATTTTCCCATTGAGAGGGAATCCTTAACAGACACTTTTTTGACAAATTTTACATTGTAAGCAATTACACAAGAAACAAATAATTAAATACGGAGGTTAATTAACATTCCAATCTAGCTGTGTTTGAGAGTTGCCAGGTACTTTGTACCACTAGGTTATTTCAAAACATTTGACACCTATGAAGGCCCCAAACAAGGGTACAAGGATCATGTTTCCAGCTGCAGATTAAACAATTAATCTGCCATTTTCAGGTACTTGTTAAAGACTAATTGGTTTTTTTTGTGTACACCATTTGATAAATGTGTAGTTTATGCAATTAAAAAAAAACACGATCTTGATCCTTGGTCGTGAACAGGAATGCACTTTTTTCTTTCGCTGAATACACTATTAAATGCACTTGTTTGGGCTCATTAACCCTAAGTCCAAGGCACTTTTGCTGGGATGCAACCTCAATCCTGCAAAATCCTCTGACTGCCTCCATGCAAAATTAGCATACAGCCTCAATCCTGCAAAATCCTTGTAAATGTTATTTCTTGAATGTGGTCCTTGGAGGGGTGATCACTGCCTCAATCCTGCAAAATCCTCCAGCAATCACTGTCAATATGTCTAGGCAGAGCCAGTGACATCCTGGAGCAGTGGGGAGGATTTCAAGTATAATCTAGGGGTAACTTTATGCATAGCTGAGCGTAAATACCACAAGGTCTGGTCTAAGACCTTGACACAGTGCATCCTCCAAAGTTGCCCACTCATCAAACTTGAATGCTGAGAGAAAATGTTGCTGTTACAGTTAAGCAAAAAGCTTTGCCCATTGGTCTTACAGGAGGGAAATCTGCGCAGTGCCCCTGGTTACCGTTCTGTTCTAGGGAGCCGCAAAATTGGCCCCTTGCCTTGGCACGAAAAGTAGTACATGTATAGGGCTCGCTCAATGACGGCCATCTCTGTAGGAGAACTGCAACTGCGTATTTTACGCAATCAAGCATGCATTACGTAGTGTTGAAAATGTTCCAAACACGCGCGCTTGTTGCTCGAAATGTGTTCGAAATACGAAGCAGCTGATGCGCGTTATGCAACTTGACGCTCAAAATGCCGATGCACGTGGATGCTCTGTAGGAAATGACGTCATTTGAACGAGACCTATGCTCATCTAAGTTTTGACATTTTTTCTGATCGTCAGGTTGAAACTCGCGACAACGAGATCACCCGTCTGTCGCGGCAGTTGGAGGGAGGGCGCCCTTTTGACGTGGTGTCCACCGAGGCCAAGAACCGGAGCAACGAGAGGCTGATATCTCATCTCAATGTGCAGGTTGGTGCAGACAGACTTGGAGACTAAGTTCCAAGTTTCATTTGGTTTTGAGGAAAAAAAGTTCAGAACTCTCAGTAAAATTGGCCACTCCAAGTTTCATTTCCAAGGTTTCGTTAAAAATTTGTGAAGATTAACCATTTTCCATTTTCTATTCCAGTTAAATGATTGACGTTTTAAAGTCGTAGTCTTAGTCTCAAGCACCTCATGCTTTATGGCTGACGGAAATTAAAGCAGGAACTTGCGCGTTGCATTTAGAGTACACTTTCAAAATTCACTCCATCATTTACATCAACATGTAATTTCATTATGTTCTACAAGCACGCACATGAATACAAAATGTCTGCGCCCAGGACGGCTTCAAAGTATCTCCGCAAGCAAGAAGTAGTTAGTGCTCTAGTAATTTAATATAGCTCTTTGACATTGAGGCGAAAAGCAACTGGGCACTACCAAACATTTTCTGTCATAAGCCTCAACTTTTTCCCAAAACAAAAGCGAAAAGGGCACTTACCTTTCATGTGTGGCATTATTTCCATTACCGACTTGCGTGACCAGGAGACAACATCATGTAACTGCACACCAGAATTTTCTGACTGCCGTTGTGCCTGTGTGCCTATTAACCTGCACGTCCACATACCTAGAAAGTGTGGACGACCACAATGCAAATGTTACTGCCATACAAAGGTATACATGGTATAGGTGAATAATTGGTTTCATTTTAATTTTTGTGGTACATGTATAGTGCTTGTTATGTTGAAGGTGTATTTTGTTGTCCGGTGGAATCAACCTTTAGATGCAATGCTGTTGACGAGACTATTTTTTTTGTTCACATCATGTAATGTTTGTTAAAACTTAGCTTTCAAATCTGTGTAGCTTTCTTCTGTGATCATCACCATCTGGCTTTGCTTCTGTTAATTTTGAGCACTGTGTCATCACTTCATTCAATTCATTGTCATATATCGTCCACCATCTCGAGTGAACAGTGCTCATCTTCCGATCATACCCGGCTTTCCCTCCCAAGACCCAACAAGAGAGCCGGGGATAACTCTTTCAAATTAGCAGCGCCGCATCTCTGGAACGAGCTTCCCGTTGATCTGAGAGACGCGGAGTCGGTGTCAACTTTCAAGTGTTCTTCAAAGACCTTCCTTTTCCCAGATCTCTCTTAAATTGCCTGTCCCCCCCCCCACCCCCCACCCCCCGGAAGGTTGTTATTGTTAGTTGCTCTGTTGTCCCGACCCCTCTGTGTTTTTCCCCTTTTGTTATGCACTGTGATAGTGGTATCGCGCAGTATAAATACTCTGTATTATTATTAATATTATTATGTGACAATGCAATGCATGTATATTTGTAATTTCCATAGTTTTATGTAAGGCCACATTTTTGTGCATGATACTTTCCTTTGAATGCCTTATCCTCTGTCTTCTATTTGATGCAATGTTTCAGAGATGTTTCCGTTTGCAATTGTGATATTGGCTCCTCATGACAACCCTTGACAGAGCTGTGGTATTACTCACAACATATACTTTGTACATACACACTTTATAGAGCACTGCCTGATGGCACTTGGTGACAGCTTACAGGAGCCAATTACATGTATTCCAAAAAAAAATTCATTGCTTGGTGGACAACGTGCCAATAAAAACATGTTGCATCTTTTTTAGAGTGTTGCCACATGATGAAATATGACTGGATTACCGTCCGTTAACATTTTGCTTTGTCACCACTATTGGGTAGTAATGGTTAGAGGGTTGACATGGACATGTATGTGACAAATTGCTGAACAAAAGTGGGGCTGGTGGACTTGAAGAACTCAGCATGGGTGTAAACTGTTGGTGGAGAAACAGTGTTTACAGAACCAAGAAATCAGATGTGAAAGGGGACTGACTTTTAAACCCATTAGTCCATTGTGATTCAGCCTCCTCAGCCCCCTTCCCCCACGCTCCCCTCCCCCCAACCCCCACCCCCACTACCTCCCACCTCCACCCCCCATCGCCTCCCAGATCCCCAATGGCATTCTGAATGCATTTGGATCAATGCTGTCTCCACAGATTGACTACTTACAGCAATCCAACCGTGATGCCGAGCGCCGCCTGCGGGAGGCCACCGTGGCCCGCGACAACGCCAACCAGAAGGCCCTGGAGCTGAGCCAGAAGAACGAGGAGCTCGCCGAGGAGCTGCGGAACGTGGACCGGCTGGCCCACCGGCTGAAGGCCGACAAGGATAACGTGATCCGGGCGGCCGATCATGACGTGATCGAGGCCAAAGTGGAGCTGCAGGAGACGTCGCGGGAGGTGGAGACGTTGGATCGCGTGCTGGACCAACTCAGACAGGTATGTTTATGGGCTCCGTGCGCTAACGAAAGAGGGCGCCGTTTTGCCTAGCAAAGACGTCCCATGGGCGGAACATCGCGCTGGTTGACGCGCACCGTTCCTTGTGTGTGACGCACGTACACCAGGGGATTTGTACTAAGTACACGCAGTGACCGCGCTTCGCGGCAAATGAATTGCAGTCAGGCAAGATGGCGTCGGTCGGTCACCCCCAACTGTACTTTCTTTGCCGGTGAGGGGGTACTTGTGAACATAGCAGATACCTGACCACTCCCTTAAGCTGGATTTAAAATAGATATGTCATTTACTCCTGATTTTAAATAGGAGCAGTAGAATCCTTTTCATTTTTGAAACTGTTTTTTTGTTTTAGGAGAATAAGAATTTGGTTGGTGACGTCGACCAGCTCAATCTGGAGCTGTCGCTGCAGAAGCAAGAGACGGGGAGAGTGCAGGATCTCCTGGTGCGGGTCCAAGACGACAAGAGATGGCTGAGTGATAAAGTTAACAGGCTAACATCAAATGGTTGGTATTTGTTTGACGTCTGTGATGTGGTACATGTTTTTGGTTTTTTTTACACCCAAGGGATGCGTGGCACATGAGACAATATCGAGGGTGCTTTGCTTCCTTGAGGGTGTAAAAAACACAATCCCCACATCATAGCAGTCAGTAATTGTTATTTTATGTCTCAACACTATGCCTTAAGCTTGTGAGTATAGCCAATCTGAAAATCAGGATTGAAGAGACAAGGGCCTTATTCACGAGTCGGCCATATTGAATTGAAAGTTAGGTAAAATCTTAATTTTGGGAACTTGCAAAGAGAATCGAAAGCAAATTAATTTATAATAAATTCCAGTTTGCTTCAATGAATAATTTAAAATTTGTAATTAAACATTCCCTAATGTTTAAAGCCATATTTAAAAAAAAATGGCAGTAACTTAAGTCTGCATTAATTGTGCCTGCATAAATAGTCTGGCGCCATCCCATTCAACAGTTAACAATTAATGAAATACATTCAGGGAACTCGACAAAAATGGCCAACTTGTGAATAAGGCCCATAAAGGTATTGAGTAACTCATGAAATTCCAGGAATTGTGAAGCTGCTGCCCTAGGAGTGGTGGCCAGTCTAGGTGCTTGGCACAAGGTGCTTGGCACAAATGTTTTGGGTTGTTAGTGTTTAACTGAAGTAGAGAGGTTTTTTTTTCATTGAAAATGCATGCAGTTAGAAATAAAGAAATTCTTGAAATAAACAGGTTCGTCTTAAAGATCTGATACACCGTACCCTCTGGAGACATGCACACAATGGGGAACAAAAGATTGTATACGTCTCCATAGGGCAATTTCTATAGATGAATACATCTCCACAAGGTTTCCAAGAAATATATATATGGATTTTACTCAAAAACTAGGAATTTCCCAGGTATGTTGATGTTGAATTTTCAAGGTATGTCGCAAATGGTAGAGTTTTAGAAAAGGGATATTAATTCCGAATTACAGCCAAGGAAATTAATTCTGGTTAGAATAAGAGCATTTTGAAACTGTACTTTCAAACTCGAAAACTTTAGAACACGAAAACAAAGAAATGACTCCACAAGGATACAAATTTCAGTATGGAAGCTTATGTTAATTTGAACTATCGTGTCAGAGTCTCCGCAAGCATTGATCATCCTCTCTGCTCAAATTTTCTGTTAAGTCCTTGTAAGTCATCACCGGTCAATTACAAGTGATCACAAATCGTTCACTCTTAAGTCAAGCTATAAGCTTTTGAAACTAACTATGACAAAAAGCCATTCCTAAGTCATCGCTCATCTCCACTACTCACGAGCTGACTTGCAATTGGGCTTGTGGTGAACTTAACCGTTTTTCTTATAGCAACTTGCACTTGCCTTGCTTTTATGCAGAGAGAGAACTGGTCCTAGAGCTAGAACGAATCAGGACCAAAGCCGGCGGCAAGGCCAAGACTAAATCGCCGACCAAGATGGACACGTATCTCAAGAGCCTGGAGGAGGAACGGGACTACTACAAGGGGGAGGTGGACGTCCTGAACAAGGTGCTGAAGGGTCAGCAGCTGACCCAGTCGGCGTCCAGAGGCCGGAGTCCGACCAGGGCGGGACGGGGGACCAGTCCGTCTAGGACACCCAGCAAGATGGATAAGAAGGTAGGATTGGGCAGTGTGTGAAGTTGGGCTGAGTAAAACAGGAAACAATTCCATCTAGGAAACCTGGATAGATAGATGGCATAAAAGGTGTTGTGTGTATGAAGTTGACTAATTAAGTAGGAAGGGGAACAATTCCATCTAGGACACCCAGCGAAACGGATACAAAGGTATAGACCTTTGTCATGCTGCCACCATTTCAGTCATGTTCCCTGTATCTAATTACAGTACTGAATGATAATGGGTTTTTGTGCAAAAGAGAACCAGACTATTTGTCCTTCCAGCCTCGCTTTTGTTACATTGATTTGAATGGGAAAAAGTCAAATGGCTGCAACCTGATAATGGTCTATAACGTGTTGTAAGAATTTGACCAAAGGTTGATTCATATGTGGCCCAAATCGAGTGAAAACTTTAAGTATCTGAGTTGTCAATTTGCAGAACGAGCCCTTGCTTTAAGTCCAGTGTATTTTGCAGATATTTTGTTATTTCATACTGTAACTGGGCAATCAAATTTTCTTGAAGTAGGAACTGGCCTCCTGTGTACAGCAGTCAATCCTGACCCCCATAGATCCCAAGGAGGTTTTTGAGGATTTCTGCACAGTTCGAAGAAAAAAAATCTGTACAGTATTTATTTATAATCTGAAACCGTTAATATCTTATCTCTGTCTCTTGCCCAGTCTGCCTCTCACTACGAGGCCATCATACGTGTGCTGGAGGACGAGAGGGACTTCTACAAGCGTGAATACGACACGCTGAGAGTGATTCGCTCATCTGGGAGCCCCAAGAAATCAACCTCGTCTCCTCCAAGAAAGGACAGGGTAAAGTATACAAGTAGAATGAACAACTTCTGGATCTCTAGAAAACTTGAAATCAGTCGGAGTAGTTTCGCTACCATTGCATCTGCCAGATAATACAAAGTGTTTCCATCAGCATAAACCTTTGTGAAACGCTGACCTTACTTCACTTGACCTGTTCTGACGTACGCAAATTTTGTTCATGCACACAGAGTGTCGCGGATGAAGCCGAGATCATCAAACTGAGGAGGGAACGCGACGAGCTCCAGTCACTCCTTGACAAGTTTGAGAGGCACCTGGCAGAGGTAGGTGTTAGTCCGCATACTCTTAAGACCAGAGGCTAATCTCAGAGAGGATCATCTGAAAAAAACTCTGTACTTAGCTGTGCCATGAATTGGCCTCAGGTTGCCTTTCAGCAGCCAATTTCACAAAACAGTGCGTAACTAACACCTTGAGTAGGACTTTCGCAACAAATTTGTTGCGCAGCTGCGCAATAAATGTGTGTTCGATTTCACGAAACGTGGCGCAGTCGCGAAACATTTTAAACATCTTGGACGAGGATAATAACGGTATTTACGATGGCTGTTTGTGTATGATTTTGTTCGTTCCTGAAACTGTCGTTGAATCACCTCAGCCCGCTATCTTGAAAATAAATTTGTCCGACTTTCTTTAGAATCGTGTTAGGACTCTAAAAAACAATTTGTTTACTTCAGACACAAAGCTGTGAGTGTCTTTGAGTATCAACCTTGATAAGTTGTGCAATGACAGGCTTCGGCTCGACGATCGCAATTTGCTGGTAAAATAGGTCACTTTCAGTCACTGCCCCATAACTTACGCTACCTAAAATTGATTGTGCAAGTTACGCCATAATTGATACGTCCTTGGAATGTGTCATAACTGAAATGTTGCGCGGCCTGAAATGTTGTGTAACTTACGTAATAAATTGTGGCGGCAAGCGGAGTTGCGCCATTGCGTAAAGTTTTGTGAAATCGGCTGCAGGTCTGAGCATTGTTGCCTTGAAATGTCTCATTTTTCTAAAAGAATTTCAGAAGTTTATTTGGTGATTTGATTTTTTTCATTTCTTTTTTTTTTTTTGGACAGATTCAAGCAAATGTGAAAGTCCTGACCAATGAGAGAGACAAGACAAATATTCTATATGAACAGGTGAGACCCCACACTGCTTTTGAAGGAGCTACGGCCAGTAGATTTTAATTTAGGGCCTGAAGACTTTAGCAAAGGAACCTTGGTTCATCTTGGTAACATCAAAGGGTTGTATGAAAGAAATAAGTCCATGTTAGAGCATAATACTGGAAATGTAAAACAGGTTTTAGAAGAGTACTGGAGGTATTCAGTGCTTTATCTACATCTACAGATTTGACTTCTCTGTATTTTCAAGGTGGTGACAGGAGTGTCAGGTTGGTTCCTTTCTCGCCTTCCACCGCTGTGACCCGGGTTCAAATACTGCCCTGGCCCAAGTGGATTGGGTTTTCAGTCTCTGCCTGATTCCGTTGATTCTCCCCCCCCCCCTCCCCCAGTAATTTATTCTCATTGTCTGCTCTCTACAAGTTTCTTCAGGCTTGTGAGGTACAGTGCCTGGGGCGCTTTTGAGGAATCCTTGGTTTCATTACCAGAAATAAATAATAAAAAAAATAATAATAATAGTGCATGCAAATAAAAATTTTAAAAATAGCAAATGCCTCAGAAAATAAAGTTGTACTTCAATTACCTGTGGAAAAACCCCCGTTGCTGAGGACAATGGATCCTGAAGGAACCATCGTTTGTTATAACTGCTCTTTCCCCATTTCAGGCAAACAGCGAGCTTCAGAGACTAAGACGAGACCTCGTCAAGTCGCCCAAGACGTCCCGAGCCTCTGTGGCAGCTCAGTCCATCCTGCAGCGGGTGGAGCTGGAGAGGGACGAGGCCCTGGCTGACCTGAGGAGGATGGTGACAGAGAGGGACAGCCTTAGGGAGAGGTTAAAGGTCAGTCTTTAAAGGTTACATGTTGGGGAGATTAATTTGGTTGGATTTTCATTCAAAGTAACCTGTTTCATGAGACAAGACGTTTTCTGTGAACTTTAAACTACAGGATGAGGAAAAAAATATGCAACCCAAATAGCAGGACCAATTTTTGAATGAAGTTTTGCCTGTAGCACTTTAAGCTTTCTTTTAGTACAAGAATCATTCAAATCACTCATGTACTTTTCAAGTTACGGAGTTTTGAACACAAAGACCATTTTAAAGTTCCGTCCACGGATCACAAAAAAGTAAGTGTAAGTAAATGGACAGAACTTTAAAACAGTGTTTGTGTTCAAAATTCTGCAACTTAAAAAGTACATGAGGGATTTGAATGATTCTTGTACGAAAAGAAAGCTCATTAATTGGGCTTTCATATCCTAGATTCTGAAAGTGCTACAGGCAAAACTTCGTTCAAAAATTGTTCCTGCCATTTGGTTTATATTTTTTTTTGCTCACCCTGTAAGTGCGAGTATAGTGAGTAATTGCACAACCTGATTTTGTTCTTTTAGATTTCTACTGATTCTCATCTTGGTGAGAAGGCACGCCTGGAGCAGAAAGTGGAGGACTTGGAAAGAGCTGTAGAACATGTAAATTTCATTGTATTTTTATCACTAATAAATTAATATGTATACATGTAAATGTTTACGCCGTGATTTTTTTCGATCAGACTGTTTTCTTGATGCGCAATGTGAAGAATTCTGATTTTTTTGGGTCCCCTTTTTTTAGTGAGCCATGGTTACACCCCTGACCAAAATATTCATGCATGATGTGCATGTGGACATGTTTGCAGGAGTGCCGTTTTTCTTTGACCCAAATTTGACATATTGTGGCATCGACAGTGTAGTCCAATTCTAATATACTTCTCAGAATATATGAGCCTCTCAGGGAAGATTTGGGTGATGTACCAAGCATTGTGGTGAATTCCAACAATATGCATTCCATGTTCAAGTATAGCCCCCTTGTCAGTTAAAGAGAGAGTATGGGACGGGACCCTTGAAAGCATTGCCACTTTATGCCTTGAGCTCAGGCAATCACGATAAAGGTTTGTGTGCAATTTCGGATGAAAACTTTTCATGCGTCCTTCAGCTCTGTATGTTCCAACCAGTGTTGTAGGACTCGAGTCCAGGACTCGGACTCGAGTCGGACTCGAGTCACATTTTTCGTGACTCGGACTAGACTCGAGTCACATTGGGAAATAACTCAGACTCGGACTCGACCATGATGACTCAAGCTTGGTGACTCGTGACTCGAGTCACGTAATTTCATTAAAAAAAAATTAAAAACCTAACGTAGGGATGGGAAAGGATCATTGAGGAATAACTATATACACTGGGATGTACTTAAAAGACACAACGGATGATTGAAAAATAATTAAAAAAAAAAATTGATTTGTTTGGTGAACAACTAAGAACGAAGTGACTCGTGACTCGGACTCGAGGCTTGTGACTCGAGACTCGGACTTGAGGCTTGTGACTCGGAACTCGGACTCGACGTTGGTGTCTCGACTACAACACTGGTTCCAACTAAATGCCCACATGCTCCAACTAATTGTGCCCACATACAGTGTGTCCCACACATGGAAAGTGCCATCTGGTGTTCATGCACAGAGTCTGTGAGATTCGACATAAAGCCCGGACTACAGACTGACGGACTAAAATCACACCCATCTCTCGTTCCATTCACAACAGGCTGAGCAGGATCGTAGCAGCCTTCAATCCAGGGTCCAGTCCTTCCAGGCCATGATATCCACGCTGGAGGAGCAGGTGCGATCCCAGACTCTGCGGATAGAAGAGGCTTACGAAGAGTCTTCCCAGCACAAGGCCACCTCAACTCAGATGAGGTCGGGAGAATTGTCTGTCATTTTTTTAATTTTTAAAGTCGTTAGCTGTAAAAATTATAGTTCAACCCTTTTTAATAGAAATCATATTTGGCTCTGTTTCTTTGACTGTTGTCTCATTTCAAACAAGGAAAGTTAAAAAATTCTCCTGATTCAGAAACCCAAACTGCACCCAAAAGCATCAGCAATTAGGATTGCTCACTTTGTTTCTGTGTGGTCTATGCAGGTTGCTAGCCGAGCAAGCAGAGACATCGCTAGGTGATCATCAACGAAGGTTGAATCAACGCTCAGGGGAGCTACAAGCAGCTGATGAAAGAGGCGCTAGACTGGAGGAGCGTATCAGTAAGTATCTGCTCTCTGATGTTGTTGCCCCAAGAACCAAAGACCTCAAGATCCTACAACCTCAATACTTACCCTAAGATCCCAAGAGCCTAGTCCCAAAGGCTACAGACCCTCAGACCTCCAGACCCCTGGACACCAAGACTCCCATAACCCTGGGGCCCAAGACACCCAAGACTCCCTGACATTCAGAAGTCAAGACCCCCAGTCACCCAAGACTCCCAGTCACCCAAGACTCCCAGAACCCAAGATCCCCAGTCACCCAAGACTCCCAGAACCCAAGTCACCCTCGACTCCCAGAACCCAAGACCCTAGACACCCAAGAATCCTAGACACCCAGAAACCAATACCCCCAGTCACCCAAGACATCCGGAACCCACGACCCCCAAACACCCACGACTCCCAGAACCCACGACTCCCAGAACCAAAGACTCCCAGAACCCAAGACCCCCAGACACCCACGACTCCCAGAACCCAAGACTCCCAGAACCCAAGACCCCCAGACACCCACGACTCCCAAAACCCAAGACCCCAGACACCCAAGACTCCCAGAACCCAAGACTCCCAGAACCCAAGACCCCCAGACTCCCACGACTCCCAAAACCTCCTAAGACCCTGAGAACCCAAAACCCCAGACACCCAAGAATCCTGGACACCCAGAACCCAAGAACCCCAGTCACCCAAGACTCCCAAAACCCACGACCCTCAGACACCCACGACTCACAGAACCCAAGGCCCCCAGACACCCATGACTCCCAAAACCCAAGACCCCCAAGACTCCCAGAACCCAAGATTTCCAGAACCCAAGACTCCCAGAACCCAAGACCCTAGACACCCACGACTCCCAGAACCCAAGACCCCAGACACCCAAAACCCCAGATACCCAAGACTCCCAGAACCCAAGACTACCTAGCATATATAACAAAGCCCAAATTACGAATTTATAACGTCTAAAAAATATTTTTCAGCCGATTTGACCATCTCCAACAACGGCCTGCACGATGAGGTGCGGCAGCTTCGCGGGACGATCAGCTCGCTGGACAGGGAGAAGGACGTCCTTCAGAACGCCCTCGATGACAAGACAGAGAAGATTGCTGCCTTTGAGCACGAGCTGGCCAGCAGAGGACACACGCTCAGCGACACCCGGGCGACACTGGAGGATCTTCAAGAAAGACTCGAGTAAGGAAATTAAGCCAGAGTTGGAATCAAATCATCACAAGTCCACAATGGTCAATCACAAATTAACACAAAGTATTCAGTCTCAAGTCATGTCACTAGCTATTCAAACAACCTGACAAAGGTATCCCTTATTATTATTCGTCCTTTGTTACTTTTAACCTAATATCACTTCTTTACTCATATTTGTTATTATTTATTTCTGGTAATAAAAGCAAGGATTCCACAAATGCGCACCAGGCACTGTAGCTCCAAAGCCTAAAGAAACCCGTAGAGAGAAGACAATGAGAAGAAATTACAGTCTTAAGAGGTTGTAGAAAACTCCAGAAGAATATTCTAGGGAAAACCCTCGGATTCAGGCCGGGACTAAATACCCAATCCACATATTGACCTAGGCGGGATTCGAACCCGGGTTTACAGTGGTGGAAGGCGAGGAAAGTACCGCTACACCAACTTGACTTCTCTAACTTCTGATTGACGGGATAATAAATTCAGAATAAGCCTCAGTGCAAATAGAATTGAAAAAAGTCTAATAACCCAATAAGTTCATTATTACACTTGAGAATTCACATGTGAATTCTAACTGTGACTTGAAGAGGCTATATGCCAGAAACCTCCAGCTCAAGAATGGTCTGAAATCTTCGCTTTTCTCACCCATTGTTAGCGATGACATGGCATCGGGCTACTGTAATTTATTAAGTATGCAAAGGTTGGCTCTAAAATGTGTAACTTTTTAACATGAAATATCATGTTCAAAATGGAAAGCCATATTGAATTGTTGATTAAAGTTGAGCAAGTTCTAGAACAATTTCAGTCAGTCTATTACCAACACTGCTCCATAATTTCAGACGTGCTACCGATGAGCTGGGCAGCAAAGATCGCGAGGTGCGCAGTCTACGCAGGCAGCTGGACTCGTCGCGAGACGAGTTGACGGAGACGGTGCGAGGCCGCGACGCCACCATGAGGGAAAACAGGAGACTCCAAGAAGACCTGGCAACAATGACAAGAGAGAACCAGGTATGACTCCACGCATAGACAATAGAGGGCGCTTTTGTCACCACTCATAAACAAATTGAAGAGGGAAGGACACAGTGCATCCGCGCAGTGGTTCACACGCAAGAATCAGGCATGACTAATTATGACCTGCCATAGCATAATGAGGAATAAAACCAGCCTTTGACTTTTCACGTTATGTACATCATGTTAAAGTGCAAATCATTGGCTTTCCAATGATACCAAATTTATTTCTGCAGCTTAATTCATTCCAAAGATTTGAGGCAGGAACTTTAACAGTGTCCTGTCAAGTTTCTCTAACCTCATTTCGAGAAAAACGGCTATGAAAAAAAGACATGCATTGCGCCGCCAACGACATTGAAAAACGTTTTTCAGTTTTTCCACTTTTGTGGGTACTTTTTCCCCAACAAAAATACATAGTGTGATTCTTAAATACTTTGGCTGCTCAAAAATACAAAACAATCAAATCGATTTTCACATGATTTTTCTAGCATATCCGACTTCAGGCGTCGATTACTCAAAACAAGGTTTTGGGGGACATTCCTCATTTTGCCTCAGTAGGTCACGATTTTATTCTGGATGTGCTCAAGGTTTGAAAACCCTGTACCCCTCAATATTTGAAATATGGCAGTTAATGAACCAACCAATCAGGGGCCGGTGTCATGGAGCTGCTTAACAGAAAGTACAGCTTATGAGCGATTCTTTTGTGCTAAGCAGAAATTGGCAGAGTACCAGTAACAGCAATATGCAAGACAACAATTGGTCGGTAACCTGTTTTTGGCTGAGCAAATCTCTGCTGTGCTTGGCAGCAGTCTTTGAAATGAAATTGTCCCCAGGATAAAGATTCAAGCTGGATGATGATGATCTACTTTATATCCTTTTTCAGGTAGTAAATATCGAGTTGGAGGAGGCAATAGAAGAACGGGAATCTCTCAAGGAGCAGGTGCAGGAGTACATCGGCGAGGTTGCAAGAATCGAGGATCTACTGGCTGCAAAGGTAGGGCAAAGCATACAACCGTGATGTTCAGAAAATCATCCGTGGCTGGTCTTGTGATTGTATATCTCGTGGTCTGCCTTCTTCCAGACGAGTAATGAATCTTGAATGAATTTAATTTTGATGGCAGATGATAAAATGTCATTTGGTCATATCACACCTGTTCGGGAATCGGATGATGTTGTCACGTGCTGCTGACTTTTAAAAAACGGATGTATTATGTACTGCATGTATGCAGGAAGACCCCCCAAAAATGCAATCCTCAAACATTTGCCTTATTTAAAGGAAGGGATTGGTGGATTTTTATGTTTTTGGTATCAGATTAAAGCTGAGAGCTTTTTCTTTCAAATACTGAAAAAAAATCATGAAAATAGCACTTTGGATTGCTGAGAAAATGCCAATTATGTAAAAGTAGTCATTTTTCATCATGTACACAAAAAAACTACCACAGGTAAGGGATTTTCACTGTACCTATTTGTGCATGTCCTAATCCTTACAATCAACACAGCATATAATATGACAAGAGTACAAATGAATTTGATGGAAATACCTTTTAATTTCCACCTGAACATGTATCTCATCCTCTTTAGTCCTATTTTAAACCCTTTCAACATCATAAATGTTTCAAAATACTAAAGAAATTGCACAAATAAGGGAATAAATGTGTGCTCCGGAGGTTTTTATCACTCTGTTTAATACCACTTAGAGTCTGGGTGCTGATAATTACCCGAGCCGGAGGCGAGGGTAATTATCAGCACCCAGACTCTAAGTGGTATTAAACAGAGTGATAAATACCGACGGAGTACATATTTATTCCCATTCATAAATACCTTTTCGGTAAAAAAAAATCATATAATTCGTTCAAAACATCCCGATTTTGTTCAACAAATTCACTTTATGCTTTTTGAAACATCCCTCCTGCAAAATAATGGAGTGTTCAGCTGGCGAGTAAGATGAAAACAACCCTTTTATGGAGATTGACGCGCGCGTATCATGTTCTACGCGATGTCGCGCAGAACGCACCTGGCGCGTTGCGTTTTGAATTTAGAACTATAAAATTCTAACTCCCTGGTAGTGTTGCGCATGCCTACGTGAGGATTGTGAACGTTCAACCAATGAAACGATAAGAGGCACTGGATTTTTAGGAGTCCACATTTTATTGTGACACTGGAAAAGTGTTTAAGACCAGCTAGCCATGTCTTTATCATCCGTTTAATACCGGCCACGTGACGGGCTCTCGACCAATAGGAATGGCTAAACTGTCTGAGGTATTTATGAATGAAGGATAATTGCACAGTAGGCCTACAGTAAAATGTTTCACTGTTTGAATTCCTTGTGTACAGGACGAAAATGACTATGTTGACATAATTGGCATTTTCTCAGCAACCCAAAATGCTATTTTCATGATTTTTTTTAGTATTTAAAAGAAAAAGCTCTCAGCTTTAATCTGATACCCAAAACATCAAAATGTACCAATCTTTTTTTTTAAAGGCAAATGTTTAGGGTTTCATTTTTTTCGGTCAGCCTGTATGTTGACATTTACTACTTAATGTAAGCTGCGTGTTTGGTTTACTTGTCAGTCGTCTGTCGGCGTGACGTCCCAGGTGACATGTTTCTATTGGTAATCACATCGTTTCAAATCATTTGTCTGACATAGGAACGTGAGCACAGGGACCTGTTGGAGAATTACCGGACCGCCACCTCAGAGGCCCAGCGCTGGGAGACGGAGGCCTCTCAGCGCTCTGGGGAGTCCTCCTCCTTCAAGGTGGAACTGATGACCAAAGATGCCGATATGAAGAGACTCCGAGACAAGGTCACTCTACAGGACAGGGAGATGCAACAGGTACTTGTCAGTTTTCGATCCTTCACTGTAACTTTTCAGACCTTCGGTTTGTGCTCCTGAGATACATGGGCCCCGTGCGGGAGTACCCCCTCAACGGTAAGAAAGGGAGAGTTGGGAGAGACATTCGAGTGCGTTGCCGATGACACCTGACGCTCATGCGAAGATGCTATGGCATTGTGCGCATTCTGAGTAAAATAAGTCGTGTGTATGTACTTCGCGGCATACATGTACGTGTTCTACATAACCCCCCGAGGACCGACACACAGAAGGAGAACAACAGATCCTTTTAGTCCTCTGGCGTTGGGTCTTTTGTTGAAACGGTTCTCTACTGTACAGTTATGTTCTTAGTCTATGGGAGAGTGTTATATTACAGGGACAAAGGGAAACACAAAGCACTGTCCTCGAGAGTAAAGTAAACACGACTGTATGTGCAAACCAGTGTGCCGTCCACTGAGATCTTGAAGTGGTCGAAAAACACCATCTACTGTTAGAGCACGGAGTCCATAGGGCTTATTGCTTATTTTGTTGAAATCTTGTAGAGAATGTGGTGAGCTTTCAAAGCAAATCTCACACTCTTTAGTACATGAGGTGTTCTTTCTGTGAGACAATTATTCAACATCCTCTATGTGGGATCTACACGTATGTGCACAAGTTTCCCATCGATAGTAAAACGGAAAGGATCACTGTCGGTGCTGTATACTTTTTTAGAGTGCAGTGATTTTTAATCCACATCTCAAATCCTTTTAGGACTAGGAAGGGGTTTAAAGGGCCCATGTAATGTATTTTTCTTAATACAGTCCTTGCAAATGCACCTTTGTGTCCCATTTAACCTTATTTTTAATTTTCTTTTTGCCATTTTTAAATGCATTTTGAAGCTCATTGTTACAGCTATTTCAGCACTAATGTTTGAATTTTGGATATTTTGCTGTTGTAAATTTTCTTTTCTTTGGTGATTCGTTGTTGTTTCGATACATGACAATAAAGCCAATGACTAAAGTTTTCTCACAGAGTTTTCATTGAGCAAATTTGGGTTGACAATTTGAACAGAAAACCCCTAAAGTGAACAATGTCGTCCTGAAATGACATCACAGCAACAGCGCCCTCATTTGTCAGGAAATTCATGGAAAATTATTAATTTTTTAAAAAGTGCCCCATTCAATAAAATTACCAAAAGAGTGTCAGTTCGATTTCATACATTTAACAGGAGTAGAAAGTTGCACAAAATGTATTCCCATGTAAGATTCATGTCATGAGCCCTTTAAATCTGCAACCTCTGGAACACTGCACGGGTGCCCTACCAACTGAGCTATCCAGCCCTATGTTTGCTGTCTACCAGTTGTCAACTTTCACCTGTAGTTTACTTCACCAAGCTAAAAAAACTCGATAAAAATGCTGTTCACAGTCCACAATGAAATGCTGACTCTCCTCATCCCCACCGTTATTTCCACAGCATATATCCTCGGTCCAAGCCTACGAGCTGCAGGTGTCCAGCCTGACCAGGTCCCTGGCCAGCCTGGAGGACACCGTCCGGCAGCTGCAGGATGAGAAGGAGTCCTTAGTCCAGGATCTCTCAGCCGTCAGGGATCTCTGCGTCAAGCTGGAGAACACCAAGGAGGCAATGTCGCGACAGCTGACCACAAGAAATATCGACACAGAACAGGTAAGACTGTCCCAACCAATGGGTCACCTTTGGCCTACTTGGCCGAGGACACTCTAGAGAAGATCCTTACAGTATGAACACAACTTATCAGGATGCAATCTCATAGCTTGCTGCATTCTGTCATGCCGCACTGATCCACACTGAATCTCCAACCAATAATGGTCCATCTCTGAGAGTTTAGGTATTCTCCTGATTACAATCAAAGAACACAATCTTAACAAAACGTCAAGGTTAACGTCTCAAGTTCTCCTCACGGCCACTTCTTTCCACAGACTTCTCCCCTTCAAAGTTCTCCTTTAAGTTCTTGTCAGGATTAAGATCAGACTTTAGTTTTCTTGAGTATATACTTTACACTTAGTGCTGTCTGAGAGCTTAAGAAAAAATTCAAAAACTTGCAGTCGCAGAGTCACTCAATTCGGCCGAGATGTACAGTTGTTTTGGTTCATAACACAGTATCAAGTTACTCCTTTTTGTGCCATGAGCTATGCTGATTAGATTATAATTATACTTTCTCTGTGATCTAATGAACAGCTTGAGTCCACCATCGAAGACCTAAGGCGCGAGATAGAGATGCTACGCAACCAGGTGGTGACGGAGAGGACCTCGGTGCGTAACCTGGAGACCCTCCTGTCCAACAACCGGGAGAAGGAATTCCAGGCCCAGCTGGACAGCCAGGAGCAACGATCGGAGCTGCAGCTCATTAAGGACAGGCTGGCGCTGGCCGACAGTAAAGTGTGAGTCTCAAAGTACAGTGGAACGTCGCTATAACGAACACTGGGAGATCCACACAAATTGTTCGTAATAGCGATCGTTCGGTATGGTGATTTTAAGGTGGTGATGCTCCGGTACTCACTTTTCAATAAACAGTGCCCTTCAGAACTTTACACTGCATGCATCACCCCGGTACATGTGTTACTGAAAGACGACTCTGAACTCATGCCAACTATTGAATTATGTAATTACACAATTTTTGGGCTTACTATGGCCTACGGCGATAGGTGGCTTTCCCCTTCTATTCCTTGGGGAAATGATAGCCACTTGTCACGTTGGTTTGTATTTGTCAACAACAATGTTCAGTACGTTTTGTACACAAAAATCGGGAGCCAAAGACGATGTTCGGTATAGCCGAATGTTCGGTATAGTGACGTTCCACTGTAATTATCATTTTATGCCTTGGAGTGCTGTGGTCTCGTGTTCGTGAGTACAGGACTCAAGATGCTTTGGGTGATTCTGCAGCGTTGAGTCCGGCTTGTGGTTATGGTGCCTGTGTCCTTGGGCAAGACACTTTGTCGCAATTTTATTTTGTTCCCCACCGAGGAGTAAAATCGATACCTGTAAAGGCAGAGATGATTCATGTTGGCGTAGCACTACTTTACTCGCCTTCCACCGATGTGATCTGGGTTCGAATCCCGCCCGGGCCAATATGTGTATTGGGTTTTCAGTTCTGATTCCGTGGGTTTGCCCCAGAGTATTCTTCTAGGGTTTCCCTCCCACCTCTAAAAACTGTAATTTCTTCTCATTGTCTTCTCTGTATGGGTATCTTCAGGCTTGTGAGCTACAGTGCCGGGGGCCCTTCTGAGGAATCCTTGGGTTAATTACCAGAAATAAATAAACATAATAATATATGGTTTAATAGACCGTTATCGTTTTGCGGCCATCTTGATTTTTGCACAAAAAACATTATCATTCGGTACTGTTATTGGATACAGGGAACATGACTGAAATGGTGGCAGCATGATAAAGGTCTATTCCGCCATTTGTGTCTGAAAAAAATGGCTGCACAGAGCTGTAACTCCCAGGGAGCTTAGATGGTCTTAGCAATGCTGGTGGTAATCCACTGCTCATTTAAAAGAGCAAGTGATCCATTTAAATGAAAACGATCTTCAAAAAGAACGTGAAAAACGAGAAACATAGTCTGAATTGCTTGAACAGTAGAGTGTGGATGTTAATACTGGAAAGGTATCTGAATGTCTTGTCTATAATTCCTGAAATCATGAAACATGACCGTATTGCTGGGCGAAAGATAACAGAATAAAATTATTGGAATTTACGAAATAATGTTTTTTTCCGCACTGATTGCAGTCAGAGCCAGAGCAGGGAAGTCCAGACTCTGAGATCCAGGGCAGCGCAGCTGGAAGCAGACCTGGAGAAAGTCCGCAGGCAGCTAACCAGCGAACGATTCGACAAGTGAGTAGAATTTCAATTGTTACTGCATCGAGGATCACAATCAGGCATCTCAAAACAATAAAGGGTAATATAACTTTTACAAAAGACAGACTTTTTTAGGAACAACAACTTAGGATTTACGGACAACACAGGTTGTAATGGCCAAAAAAACATTATCCATTTAAAATGTACTTACATATACAGGCGATTCCCAATAAGTTTGCCACCAAGAGGCTGCCCCGTAGAGTCTAGCTTTCAAGTTAATGGTCAACAAAAACATGGCCAACTTGCCGTGATTTGAACAAACTCGAGGAAATTGCTGCCTCACAGAAAAACAACATCTTGATAAAGAGTAAAGAAAAACGATACTTGAATCAAACGCTTACGGAACTACTGACCAGACAAACTTACAAGTTTAAGTGTCCCGCGCCTTGCGAATGTGTCGACCGTCTCCCTCAATGCGGCTACAGACTCACGCCTCCCTTGGTGGCGCACTGTATTGGGAATCGCCTGTATTGAAAGATGATAAGACACACAGTAAGATCTGCACTTGTGGTTTCAAAGCGTGGTTATGTTTTGTTTATTCCTACATGTCTGTAACGGCATTCTGACTCCATGCGTTATTTTCTATTGCAGAGAAAGAATATCTCAGGAACTTCGTAGATCCACCCTCTCCCCGACCACCGTGGAAAACACCAGCTACACTCGCACCTCCCTGACCAACCACAGCTCCAGGAAGTCCACCAGCCCCCTCCGGTCAGCCTCCCCGACCCTCAGGTCTCTCTCGCCGGGCAGGTCGGGTCGAAGGTCGCCCGAGAGGTCGATCCTGAGGTCGTCGCCGGCCTACCGTTCCTCCTCGCCCGAGAGAAGTATGGATGAGGATAGGTTTTTGGAATTTGATGAGGGGTTTAAGAATGGCGCGATCATGCACAATGGGGTACACAAGGATTTTGGGGATCCCGTGGTGCCCAAGTTGAGTTTGTCGCGGTTGGTGAGTTCCAGGAATCCTGGGAAAAAAATCCTTGAAGAGTTTTTTCGAGTTCTCATTTCTGAGTAGAACTGTTGATAGCTGAGTAGTTGATCATTGTGTGAACTTCACTGAGCTGTACTCGCTCGGTGTGGGTGGTTTCTTGGGTTCTGGTCTATATTCTTTTTATCCTAGTCTTCCCAGTTCTTGCATGCTCCTTTGTTACTGATCTGTGCCCAATTTTATCAAGCTGGTAAGCAGAAAATTGGCTCAGCAAATGTCAGCCGGGAACCGGTCGCAAGCTATATACGTTGCATGACAGCTTGGCTGGTAACCTGCCGTTGCTAAGCATTTATTGTCTGTGCTTAGCGCATTATAGGCTCCCACTGTTGACTTCAACTTCCAAATCTTGTCAACTGTTAACATTTTTAAATTCTCTTAGTCTTTCATTTTTCCACTTCAGTATATGTGACCCACTCCACAAAAAAGGTATTATGTTGCAAACAAGTGAAATTGAGATATATACATGGTACGAAAGCCCATAACATAAGCTTTCATTTGGTGTACAATAGAGCTCCATAGCCCCTCCCGTTCTAGAGATATGACCTATTTGTGTATTAAATACTTCCTTGGAGTTCAGATTACAACTGAGAATACAGGCTTTGAAATGTTGTAGATTTGGGCACGATGCACTCAAAATTGTCTTTTTTTTCCACTGAAGTCACTTCTGTGAATGAACCCTCAAACTTTAAGTAATAAAGCTGTCATTCATGACTAAAAATGAAAATCACATTTTGACAAAATGTTCACCCTCAATGTTGAGCGGGCCATTACACGATAATGCACAGCGCAACTTAATACCTTTTTTGTGGAGTGGGTCACATATTTGTTCTTTCATTCTAACAAACATCTCATTTCATATTCTCGTAACAACTGACTAGGACGATGCTCATACGTCTGTAATAGGACCAGGTAACCCATCTGTGCAACAATGTGTCTTGTCATGTAGCCTCGGTCATTAATTTTCCACGACTTGTTAATTTTCTTTTGATAGAATGGTAGTTTCTGTCGTACAGTTTTGTACATTAATTTACGTCACATTTGTGATTTAGTTAGCACTAAAGTGATATCTGTGTTGATGTATCTTTGTGTTTTGTACATTTGTGCATTTGTTTGAGATCAATATTAACTTGCATGTACGTGTTGAAGTCATCGTTCAGTGTCAGATACAATTTATTTACACATTATTTTCATTTAAATTTTACTTTTTGTTGTCATTGTTTTTAAACACCGTGAAAAAAAAGATAATCCACATTTATTGGAGGGGTCGTTATTCTAAATGTGATCGTCTTATGATAACGTCATTTATATAGACCTTTGGGGAATGTTGTTAGCTACATTTTGATACCTCGTTTGCTACCAAAGACTGTAAATTGTCCAAGTTTTACAACAGTTATTGAAAAATGATGCAGTTTGAAAAAATTGCAAATTTAAAGATTACGCGAGGAGAAATTGCTAAGCGCAAACACACATGCTCGTAATTGACCCCTATTGACTGCACAGTGCCCGAACAAAGCCCTGGTAATTCAATTTCGCGTGCTCCCATGCATGCGAGCACTGTGCAATCAATATTCCCTGCCATTTGTTTCAGGCAGTGTAACATTGTCATGCAGCAGTTTCGACTCGCATACCAAATTTGTATACTTTTCAAAGTGCATCATTTTTCATAATCCGTTGCCAATCTTGGACGATTTACAGTCTTTGGTAGCAAACAGGGTATCAAAATGTAGCTAACAACATTCCCCAAAGGTCTATATAAATGATGTAATCATAAGACGATCAGATTTAAATATTATGACCCCTCCAATGAGTGTGGACTTTCTTTCTTTTTTTGCAGTACATGTATTTATTATTTCATAACACTGTTGTCTCCGTGTTATTGACAAGACATCTGACCCTCTGAATAATTATCTTGTCTTTTTCAGGGTGAGGAACGGAAAGAAATCATCTAAACGACAGCAACTTAAATCATTGGTAAGAGCGCTGCAGGAGTCATGTTGGTTCACTGAAGGGATTTTTTTGTGGGGGGGGGGGGGAGGAATGGCTGAAAATTTGCACTGGCATTTTGAAACCCCTTTATACAAGGAATATGACAAAGGGTGAGATTTGTTAGTATTTTACCTGATTTCAGGATTTTTGAAAGAATCCCTTTTGAAAACTAGAATTCCAGAGGTTTTACGGTAAAGGCGTTTTTACCTACAAAAGTTTATATAGAACAACAAAATTAGTGTTTTAAAGGTAATATACAACATTTGCAAACATAAAAAAACAATACTACCAAATTATGATGACATGCCGTACTTGCCTACAACTGAATAATAGTCTCAAGCATCCTGTGAAATCATGTATGGCACCTGGTGTGCTGTCACTTTCAAGAAAGTGGAATTTTTTTATCAATTTCCAATGATGGTCGGCCGACCATCGTTGGGATAAAAAAAGGATTTTTTTTTTAAAAACTGTTCCCAATTTACCAAATTTAGTTAGTCTGCATTTTGATTACCATCGGTTACACATCCGTGGACAGGTGCAAGCCAGCTTGTCTGGTTCCCTGACCTGACAATTCCCTAACATCTGTTACTTGCTTTGTTTTGTCTGAAGTAGGGTCGGGAGCCAGAAAACAAGAACAACTTTTTTTTTTTCCAGCATTTATGAACACAAAACACTTTAAACAGGTCAGTGTAACAATATTTGCTATAAAATGCCAACCCCCAAATCCATCCATTTCTGAAAATTACAGCAAAAGCAAATGTGTTTTATATTTCCTTTAAGGGGTGCCTTTAAGCAAATTCAAATATTTATCATAGACCCTACATTACTTTAGGGTGCTTAGTTATCCTCAAACCATCTTGATAATCTTGTGGCTTTTTCATTTTCCCTCAATCTCACCCCAATATGAAAGGTATCTTGAGGAACCAGACATTGAACTTTTTATCAGGCACTGATTCATGACTTATTATTCTCTACAGTGTATTCTACAAGACCAGCTTCGCAGGAAACTGAACGAGTGCCACTGCAGACTCCTAGCCGGTCTGCGAGCCGCCTCCCCAGGACCTTACACGCCCTGCAACATCACCTGCCGCTGGTGCATACTGGAGGACATGGAGAGAGGTAGGCGGCTACAGACCCACAAGTCTAGTTGAACATGTTGAATGTTCGACTGATGGTCCGTAGAACACAGTGTGTCTTCTAGCTGCCTTCCTTGGACCTTACAAGCCATGCAACATCACCTGCTGCTGGTGTATACTGGAGGACATAGAGAGAGGTAGGCGGCTACAGACCCACAAGTCTTGAATGTCGGACTGATGGTCCGTAGAACACGGTGCCTCTGCTAGCTGCCTTCCCAGGACCTTACAAGCCATGCAACATCACCTGCCGCTGGTGCATACTGGAGGACATAGAGAGAGGTAGGCAGCTACAGACCCACAAGTCTAATTGAACGTGTTGAATGTCTGACTGATGGTCCGTAGAACACAGTGTCTCTTCTAGCTGCCTTCCTAGGACCTTACAAGCCATGCAACATCACCTGCCGCTGGTGCATACAGGATGACATAGAGAGAGGTAGGCTGCTACAGACCCACAAGTCTTGCATGAAGGACAGGTGATCTGCATAACATATTGGGTCTGCTAGCTGCCTCCCTGGGACCTTACACGCCCTGCAACGTCACCTGCCGCTGGTGCATACTTGAGGACATAGAGGGAGGTAGGCGGCTACAGACCCACAAGCCTTGAATGAAGGAGGTGATCTGCACAACATATTGGGTCTGCGAGCCGCCTCCCCGGGTCCTTACACGCCCTGCAACATCACCTGCCGCTGGTGCATACTGGAGGACATGGAGAGAGGTAGGCAGCTACAGACCCACAAGTCTTGAATGTCGGACTGATGGTCCGTAGAGCACAGTGTGTCTTCTAGCTGCCTTCCTAGGACCTTACAAGCCATGCAACATCACCTGCCACTGGTGCATACAGAAGGACATGGAGACAGGTAGGCGGCTACAGACCCACAAGTCTTGAATGTTGGACTGGTGCGCCCTAGAACACTGTGCGTCTTCTAGCTGCCTTCCTAGAACCTTACAAGCCATGCAACGTCATCTGCTGCTGGTGCATACTGGAGGACATAGAGAGAGGTAGGCAGCTGCAGACCCATAACTCTTGAATGTCGGACTGATGGTCCGTAGAACACAGTGCGTCTTCTAGCTGCATTCCTAGGACCTTACAAGCCATGCAACATCTGTATGTGCCTAAATCCAACCGAAACAAGGTAGTTCTTTTAAGTAGTAATGTTTTCCGCTGAGTTATAGCCTTTTGTATTGCATGTGAGATGTCGGTTTTCAGAAAAATCTTAAATTTCATTCTTAAAAAAAAAAAAAACACACCAAAAAAATTCCAAGGTTTTGGATGTCTGTCTCATAACAAGCTCGATTGGAAAATATCTCGTAAGCTGCGGGCCAACTAATTCGTGTTCATGCATGAGTCACGTGATTGCGCCATGCAGTGTTTTGAGTAGTGTTTAGAGTAAAAAAAATCAGGTTTTTGACCCCAGTGACCCCATGATGACCTTTGACCCCAGTTTGGTCATGTGACATGTTGGGGCTGGGTTACTGATACTTGTTTGGCTGAAATCAGTCAAAATATGTTTGAGCAATAGACAATGTCAACGTTTGTTACTAAACTAACTATAAACTAACAAACTAATGGAGAGACAAGAAGATTTGTTGTGCTGCTATTCCACAGCTAAAAACTACATTCCACATGAATACAAACATTAAACCTTGACTTTTCTTTACTTAACTCCTACCTCAATTTGTGTGCAGATTTTTGCTTTCTTGTTTTCGCTTTTTGTGTGTGCAAAATGTAATTAAGGTTCACATACGAGGCGTTTGTATTGGAAAAATTCGTATGTATCATTCTTCATTTACTCCCATATTAAGATGAATTCTTACCGCCAACTTGACTCCACCCACATTCTGTCAACGGTGCCTTCACTCTTAATGTTTAAAACATTTTTAAAATTTGTCATTCCATATTTACAGTAATTAGTTTTTATGACGAATAGTCTGACCTTTCAGGTTGTGCACACGTTCCTTAATTTTGTTTTGTACCCATTTTTACAGTTTATAAAGTTGTCAATTGTAAAATAGAATATAAACTTTCACGACTTGCCATTTTATATTTATGTATATTGTTATGCGTTTGTAGGGTTTTATTTATTTAGTTAGTTTGTGCACCATCTGTACTGATATTGTGTGGTTGTAAATTTCACCCATGATGTCGCACTTTAAGGCAAAACAAATTTTGGTAATTGAATAAGAAGTAATTTTTTCAATTATTTTTTTTTTAATTAAATATCCATTCGTGGTGTATGAAAACACACACAAACAGTAATTAAAAAAACAGTATTCATGAACACATTTTTAATTATTCAATGCCTCATTAACCCTGAATTCTGCAATTTTAATACAATATTTTTGTCACCTGCCCTCAGGGTTATGCTTAAAGAATTTCGCATTGAGTAAAATGTGACTGCAGAAGTACCCTTGTATGTTGATTTCCTTAAAGAAACATTCCCCACAATCTGACACACAGATACGAAAATAGAACATGTAGTGAGAGTGTAAGAATCGAACGTGGGAAAAACTACAGCTTTTTGTCAAATGTATGTGTTATTTTACCATGAACTCGGCACATGCTTGATAGAGTCTGTTCCATGTGTTCAAACAATCACGCCGAATTGTTCAAATTCGTTGATTTGCCAAATTGTTTAAATTCGTCAGTTTGCCAAATATTTGTTGGTACATGCCGTCCAAAAAAAATAATAAAAATCTAAGTTAGGCCAAAAAAAAAAAATATTTGGTCTCTGGTCAGACCAAAGTTCCGGAATTGACGCGGCCATGCGGCTTCTTCTTTTTTTTTCTTCAAGCTTGGATTGTACAGACAAGGTGGGGTACTATTTTGCTTTTTTGGTGTCCTCATGTACATTGGTGTCCTCCATAATTTGCCTTGGTGCTTTCGATCATTTGCCTTGGTGCAATTTCCCATTCCTTGGTGCTCTTTGGTAAACAAAATTGCGGAGGTGCGGAAATAGAGGGCGCTGTTGGAGCTACCGCGGAACATTTTGGAAAAAAAAAGATCGACGCGCATGATTAAAATCGACGCGCGCTGACCAGAGACCGACTAATTTATTTTTTTGGCCTTATAGTCGTATTGAATATCTAACAACCCGGACTGGCTGATAAAAGTGGATGTCAATCATTATAAAGGCAGGGATAAATTCTTGTTAGTAGTGCCGAGTGGATTCAGATGTTTAAAGGCGATATATAACATTTGCTTTTGCTGTAAGTTTCAGAAACGGATGGATTCGGGGGTTAGTTTTTTATAGCAAATATTGTTACACTGACCTGTTGAAAGTTTTGTGTTCAAAGATGCTGGAAAAAAATAAGAAAAAAATGCTGCTCTTTAGTCTGGTTCTCTGATCCTACTTCAGACGAACGGAACAATTTAAGCATGTCAGGGAATTGTCAGGTCAGGGAACCAGACTAGCTGGCTTGCACCCATTCACGGATGTGAAACGATTGCCGTGGAAGCTTTGGAAATGTCCAATTCTTGCCTTTGAGGCAAAAATTGCCATAACAACGTGTCTTTTGTGTGTTGTACTTACGGAGACTTTGCAGATCACAGATTTTTGTTCTTCACTTGTCCTATGAATGTTTTTTTTGCAAAAAGAGTTAATTTTGTTTTGGTAAATGAAATGTATTTTATCTTAATAAAATGTACAATTGTTGAAAATATCTTATGAAATTAAATTACTGTTAAGTAAATAAAATTCATATTCGGTGTTTTTGTTTGTAACTTTGTTGCATAAGTTTGAAATATGGTTCCCCCAACCAGAAATGGTATGTGCTCTGTCGGCCGCCTATCAAAGCGCTAACTGGGTCCCACCATTCTTATTTCTGATATAATAATAATAATAATAATTTGGGAGGCTAATCATCCTTACTCGCAGCTGGTATGCTGAATTGCGAAGGACGCGGCTACAACGTGGTCGGGCCGCTGGCACGTGAATAGGCGCCTATGGCTGCCGGCCACATCGACCCATATATGACCACGGAGCACAGCCTGAGATCGAAAGTGTTTGATTTTTCCGGAGGGAGGAAAACCGGAGGGCCCGGAGAAAAACCCTCGTGGCACAGGAGAGAACCAACGCACAACTCTACTCACATGCGATCCGCGGCCAGGATTCGAACCGTGGTCACCTTGGTGAGAGGCGAGCGCTTTACGCACAAGCCACCCAAGCCACACAAATGATTGATCATGAAACATGATATTCCACTTAATATGCTCAAACACTTTCAACATGTCTTTCTCCTCCAATTCAACATAATCTACTTTGACTGCACACTTTTTTGGACAGCTCCATTCGCCACCGAATCAGGTAAATTTGGAAAAAGTAGGTGTTGCTTTATGAAGATTAACAAAATCTCTGAAATATCAATTATTCATGGATTACATGTATGCACCACCAACATCTCTAACATAGTCCTTTCAGAGCGCAGTCCACAGCGACAGCCACTCATCCGACAGATTATTCAGTCACCACATGTTCAGCAAACTTGGAAACAGAGGTTTATCGGCCTTTGTTTTGAAATCAATGGTGCTCGGTCGTCCATGACTGAAGAGATGCAAATAAAATATCAATGAAAAGCTAATGACCTACCCTTTAAAGATATAGTCCATCATTTGTAATTTGTGCATTTTGTTCGTTTGAAGCAACAAAAGTGTTCGAAATCTAATGAAGGATACTGAACAACTAACCTCATGAAGTTTCAGCTAAGCTTCAGCTGTATTTTCCGAGAAAAACGGCATACTAGGATCTCAATTTCAAATCAAAAGTTACTGAATCATGTTTTGAATTGTTTTGAATTGCAGCTATACGCGACGTCGCGCACTGATCCGACGAATGGGGTCCGCTCATAAGTCCGACGCCTCATAGGTCCGACGCCTCATAAGTCCGACAAAATCGCATCCCCTAATCAAATAAAGGCCCATAAGTCCGACGCCTCGTAGGTCCGACGCCTCATAAGTCCGACGCCTCATAGGTCCGACGCCTCGTAAGTCCGACAAATTAAATGCCTCGTTTTTCCGTTGTCGGACTTTTGAGGCGTCGGACTTATGAGGCGTCGGACCTATGAGGTGGAATAAATAAATGTTATGCCTCACAAGTCCGACGCCTAGGCGTCGGACTTATGAGGCGTCGGACTTATGATACGGCCCCCGACGAATTATAGCAACCGCGCGCGCGTGTGCGTCGTGCCAATGCTTGCGCGCGCTTCGCCGGATAACAAAACGAACTACTAATTTAAATTTTCCTACGGTGCGTCTTAAGACGCCTTCTTTCGTTGATTACTTCAAAATGACAGCTTCCCAGAAAGAATAATTTCACAGGGAGTTTAGTTCCCTTACTATCTTTCAACCAAGTTTGTTTTTCAACAATAATTAAGCCAGTTACTTTTCGGATGGCTGCAAATGATGGACTAAAGCTTTAAGATGGAGTCACTTTGACAGTGTTCCAAGTTCATAACTTCCGCTTATTAACCCTTTATTTTTGGATAACCTTTTTTTATACACCCTGTATAAGCCCTCTTGCCTTTAGTTCCAGCCACCTCGAGCCTGCAACTTTAAATATCCCTTTGAGAAGAGTGTTGCACTAGAAGAAGAAGCAGAATTGTTGCACCAGAAGAAGAAGAAGCAGCAGCATGCAGAATTACATGCATATCTAGCTGGCAGGGGAGGTCCCAAATCTGGTTACGCCAAGGCAGTGGTAACTCTAACTATAACATTAGCCTTGACAACAAACAAAATCTAACCCAAACTACTGTCGAAGTAATAAGGGAATAACAGTGTGAGGAGCCGGTCTTCACTGCGTGATAATGACCGGGTGTGGGGGTGACCGCTGTTAATGGACCGAGACGAAGTCGAGGTCCATTAACAGCGGTCACCCCCACACCCGGTCATTATCACGCAGTGAAGACCGGATCCTCACACTGTTATTCCCATTAATAAATACCTTTTTAACGAAATAAACATTTAAAATGCTCAAATTTTGTGACTTTCTTTCGGCGATATTTCCAGACTTTTTTGTGTTCATGTTCATGGGCCATATTTTAGCTTAACAATAACAGCTATAACGACGTAAACTCAACAGAAACTGCTGCCGTAGCGAAACAAATTACAACAATGTTTTCATATTTTTACCTGATGGAGGAAGCTGAAATCTCGTTTACACATTCCTTGTGTCCGAAATTACAAAGATGCTTGGTTTAGGAAAGGTAAATATGTCGGTGGGTGAAGTGTTCAAAGAAAGTAAGTCGTAGATCTACGCTTTCGTCGTAAACATCCTCAGTATATACTGCACTGCTGTACGATGTCGTTACAAAACTTCCTGTGAATGCGAGTTGGCACTTAACAAACTCAGGACATGTGTGCAACAAATAGCATCATGGATGTCGCAAAAAAAGCTGCAATTAAACAAAGCAAAAAGAGAGGTTTTTTGTTCCAGCTTCTTCGAGAACTATCGGTATTCTTTCGGATGTCGAGCTAACTCTTGATGGTGCCACCATCGCCCCGACACTGACACTGTAGGATGTTTGAGTCTTCTGTGATCCTGATGTTATGAACATATCTTGCTAAATCTCATCTGTTGTTAAATGTGTCAGCTTCCATCTACGCAATCTGTCAAGAATTTGCCGTTTATAGATCAGGATACTTGCAAGCTTGCTGTTCAAGCTCTTGTGTCTTCCCGGATTGACTATGGTAACGCCTTACTGTTTGGAGCCTATGACTATGACCTAACTCGTCTTCAACGCCTACAAGATAGAGCGGCAAGACTGATATCTTTTGTAGGGCGTGATACATCCAGTGCCCCCTTGTTACGCCGTCTTCATTGGCTGCCGATCCGTAAGCCCATTGAATTCAAAATCATTGTTATCGTCTACAAATGCATTCATTCACAAGCCCCGGAGTATCTTCAAAACCTGATTTCATTTCAATTCATTTCGTTTCAAACCAGAACTCGTACCGGTGATAAAGCGTTTGAAGCCGCTGGACCACGCCTTTGGAACTGTTTGCCCATCAACATCAGGGAGGCCAAAACCTTGGGCATTTTCAAAGGTCTTCTTAAATCACACCTGTCTGTCTAATTTCTTGTATTACTTCGTACGTACTTCGTTTTGTTGCTTATGTTCTGTATACTGAGTCTGATTGTTCATTGTGTAATGTATTATATGCATTGCCTTGTACAGCGCTGTGTTTGCCTTTTATTTATTTATTTATTTTACATCTTTTGACATAAAACACAAAGTTAAGAATATATAAAATGATACAGGGGCTGTCAAAAGTATAAAACAAAAGTATAAAACTGTCATCTAACGATGTGTTTGTCCAGACCCCTGTTCAAATAAAAATCATTAATATGGTAAAATTGCACATAATAATGACGATTGCCTTGCCTTGCCTTGCCTTAAAACATGCCTATAAAAAGAGCTCTCATCTCTCAATAAATGTAACATAGCTTGCTTCTCATTCGGTTTTTCAGCAATTGTTTGGTTTTTTTTGTTCTCTCTTAATACATTAAATTCTGTTCTAGTTCATAATTTTCATGCTTAGGTTCTGTCTCAGTGCGGTCCAACTGTCCGTGTGTATTTGTTTTCGTTTCTGTTTTGTGTTTGTCCGTCCAAGGCATCTCCCCACACGCCTAGGCCTCCAGAAGATGCCTCCATACCTTTTTGTATTTTCAACTTTTAACAAACTCTTTTTG